AATACAATTTTGTATGTTAATATCATTCATTCTTTTGTAAATAAATATATATAAATCAAATGTTCATATTTAAAAAAATAATCTTCTCATCGGTAAAAAAGCTTCATTTGTTAATTTTCATGCAAGTTTTTATATTAATTTTTGCTTTATTTCTTCGATGTAGTGTTATGAAAAAAATATAAGGATGTTTTTTTAAAAAAAATTTATATTAAAACTTGTTCATTATGGGTTTTTATTTAAGAATAAGTGCATAAGAAAGAACAAATCATATTTTCTTGACTTTAAAATTTGTTCAAAACATAACACACACACACACACACACACACACACAAAAAATTGATTAAAAATTATAAAATTATGTGAAATTTTATCTTTTATATTTAATTTAATATACTTTAATTAAATGACAACATAGTATATATTATGAAACTGAAATAAATATGTTTAGTTCGATCCGCAACATAGTGCAGAATCCGAACTTATACATATACATGAAATTCTTATTCACTTACTCGTTCATTTGCATAAAATTACTATTCACTTAAGGGCAATCTAAGTAATTTTTTGTGTGTTTTTGAACATTAATATGAAAATTTAACACTTTTTTCTATTTTCATGTCTCATGTTGTAACATTGTTTTTTAATCCCTAACTTTCATTTTTTGTCATTTCCACACGACGTATATACACACACACACACACACACACACACACACACACACATACTATCTTTTTATATTTTAAAATTAACATATACTTCGGCTTATATTATTTTTATTGCTTAAATTTCATCACTTGAATTCATCATGTTTTAATAAAAAAATCTCATTTAATTAATATTTTTTATATAAAATTTTATTTACTAATAAATATAACTTATTTTTCTCTCGTGTTTGAATTTTAGAATAAAATTTCAAAACATAATTTTTTTCTTTTTGAAAAAATAAATTGGTATAACATATATAATGAATTATTAGAATTTTTAAATAATATTTGCATGCATGCATGCATATATATATATATATATATATATTCTAAAAGGTTAAGATTGTATTTTAAATAATCTATATTTGTTCACTAAGTATGGTCAATACGAATAAAAAAATTATTAAATTATTATTTTTATTAAAAATTAACTATACATCTTCCAACATAATACAAATTATTTACTATGAATATTTTTTTAACATTATAAAATCAATTTATTTAAAATAAAATAATTAATTTTTTTAAGGGAACCAAGCAATTATTCAAATATATTTTTGATGCTAATTTTATTGATTATTTTGTAAGTAAATATATATAGATAAAATGCATTTACTTTTAAAAAAAATTCTCACCAAAATTAAATAAGAATAAAATTTATTTTTTCATTAATTGATTTTTACGCAAATCTATACATTAATTGCAACTTTATTTTTTGGATACATTTTTATAAAAAAATATTTTAAAAGTATTTTTTTAATTCTCAATTAATATTTCAAGTTTAAATTATTACAAGTTTTATTTAAGAATCCCTAAATAAGAAAGAATAAATCATGTTTTTTTTTAAGCAGAAATTTTATGAAAAACACACACACAAAAAAAATATTAATAATTAAATAAAAAATTTAATGAAAAAATTATAAAATTTTAAAATAATTATGTTCTATCTACATGCAGCATATATGCGGATAATTTCAAAAATTAATCTTCTCATCAACATTAAATAAGATTTTTTTTTCATTTGTTAGTTTTTATAAAAGTTTGTCCATTAATTATAATTTTATTTTTTGAAATAAAATATTATGAAAATATATTTTTAAATTTTTTTTAAAATTCTTGATTAATATTTTAGTTAAAATTATTTTAATTTTTTATGTTAAAATCAATTCATAAAGAAGAATGATTTATGTTTTTTTTTAAGTAAAAAATTTATGAAAAAATTAATTAACTAAAAAATTTTAAAATTTTAAAATGTTTTATGAGATCTGCAACATAGCTTGGGCAACCGGACAGTCTAAATCTAAATGGTCGTTGTGGGTTTTCACTCACATACCATCCATCCCACTGTTATGCATTTTCTGTTCAGGCCCAGTATGGTTCTTGTTTCTGTTCAAAGGCATAGATTGGGCTACGTTGACCAGTACCCTTCAAAATTCTTCTCTTTGTACGGTCCAATTTACCATTGAATTCCAGATATATTAGTGGTTGCTAGGTAATAAAAAATCATTCAGCCTGCAAATTTAAGCTATTGGATGAATGCAAAAAACAACAACCCTTTTAAAAAGCATTGGCCTTACCCCTTTTCTTGACGTGTCGCCAAGTAACTTGATAGTTTAGTGTTTGTTCAATTAATAACGAACTCAGTTTGTTTTAAAAAATGGTTGAATCTCATTCTGGAAAATCAAATATGTACAACAGAAAACGTCTTTACATATATTGGGAAGAATATCACATATAATTGATGTAAAAATATAAATAAATAAAATTATATGTAAGTACACTGTACAAATCAAGTATTGCTGTAGTTTCTACCTCAAATGTTCAACGCTAGATGCTGTCATTTCCTCAATGACTAATGATCTTGCTCGATTAATCGTTAGCAGGCAGAGATACACATGCTCTTCAAGCTCCTCTACCTGCTTCCTGAACCCGAAATCACTCTTCTTAAGCTCCTTTATCACTTGTAAGGAAAACTTATCCTCTTTTCTCTCCAAACAGAACTGTATCATTGCCTTGTCGTGTTCAACTTCATCGTGAAGCCTAGCAACAAGTCTGCTCATTGTGTCAAAATCCCTATTCAATATGTAAGTTCCCTTGGCTGCCAGATCAAGTTGCTGCCCAACTTTCCTGAGGAAACCACTTCTCAGAAACTTAAAGCTCAGAAGCTTTTTCTTGAAGCGCTTTAGGGGGAAGCTGAAAATGGCTGGTCCCATCACTAGTGCGGTAAGAGTATGTGCTGCTAGAATAATAGCTGTAATTGCAATTAAGCCACAAGCTGCTGTTATGCAAATTCCTGAAGCCTTATGGATATATGCAATGAGCTTCATCTTCCTAGCCACCTTTTTTCTTTTGGATTTTAGGTGGTTTAGAACTAAAGAGTACCTGTCGTTAATTAACTTGAAGTCATGCTTGTTAGGAGTGGTAAAAGGATTGCTTTGGATAATAAATGAGTTCAGCTCCGAAACAATCCATTTCAGTTTCTCAGGCGAGTAATCGTCGATACTATTCAGCACTCTTTGAATGAACTGGTAACTAGATTGGATTTGGTTTATGTTTTTGAGAAGGTGGCTACAAATACTTGAAGCTTCAGCACTCAAGTCAAAGTAATTTCTTATGAGGCTTTTGAGTTCAGGTGCTTTTGAAAGAAAAGCTGATTCAAGAATTGCAGGTATAGATTCTTGACCCGGTTCCAGGAGAATTTCAGAAGATTTGCGATGGCAGTAAGATGGAAAAGATGGCTCGTTTACAAGTGACTGGGCTTTGGTGAAAAAATCAGCATAGGATTGGGTTCTGAACGCGCTAAGATACTCCTCGTTGACATTCAAGCTTTTGCAGGCATCTCTGTATTCCTTCCCATCTGAAAACCGAAATAAAATTGCCAAATTACATATACATCACACAATTGAGTGACAATTAAGGAAGCACGTAAGTGTTATTTATTTACTACTTTAAAAGGTACTATCAAATTTTCAGCTTGTACATAGTTCAATTCAAATGTTTATTTTTTTATTTTTATTTAGAGGTACCGATCTTAGATGTGCACTCAATTTTCAGCTCGTGGAAAGCTATATGAGCACCATTTGATACGCAGATAATAGAATTAAAAGAACACCGAAGTTTGTGAAAAGAGCCAACTTGATGGGGGGAGAAAACAATAGACAGAAGTAGCTATAATTAATTAAGGGCTCTGTTAATTTGATGTAGAAAATAGAAACATGATATTTTTCATATACGTGAAATTTGTTTTAAAATGCTATGTTTTGGAAAGAAATCATCCTAGCTACTATTAATACAGTAACGAAAGAGAAGTTTACATATATAGAATATCTACGTGATTAAACAAAATAATTTCTTTTATTTATTTTGGTAGAAGAATTGAGCAAAAGTACAATCTTTTCCGCTGTAATCATCCCTGTTCTACGCTGATGATTGCTAACTTTTCTTCAGCCATAATTTCAAGGCATATATCCCTTTTAAATTTCAAGGCATATATCCCTTTTAAATTTTATCATCTTTCCTTGTGACAAATCATGAATGATATATAATTGGTGAGAAATGATATGATCAAACAATTCATAAAATATGTGACAAAATAACTAATCATAAAAAATGATGTGATATTCCTTTTCCATTCACGGCCTACATACCTAGCTAGTTATCATCCTCTACGAGTTGTTAGTGAATCTTAACATATAAAATGAAACATGAAGACATTCATGTAGCTAGCATACCTTTTCTGTTCTTTGAAGCTCTAAATTTGGCCCACATCATATGCTTATATATCTTAGTCTCAGGAGGGATAGCTTTTGATCACTTTAGTTTCAAGAAGGAGAGTTGAATAAAAAATTTCACGTACCCTACTTGGGCTTCTCTGAAAAATCTTGAAAGATCTTGTAATCCTATGAATAATGAAGGATTTTAATTAATGAGTTATCGAACAGATTCCTAGGTTGTGTATACCGGTTATGTATCTTTGCCTTATAAAGCCTATAAAAGACATTTGAAAGTGTTGTGTTTCACGTCATCTTTTTTTTTTTCTTTTTCTGACACGCTTATCTGGTAGAGGAAATAGAGAAAGAGGGATTTACTTTCTCCAATTTGTTTGCAAGCTTTAAGGCTAAATTTCCTGAAGAGGCCTCCCCTCTTCAGGAACTTTATTTCAGGTACAGGCTCCTTTCCCTCTGTTTGCCTTTGCATTTTTATACACGTCTGTAATCTTGCGTTGTCCTCATATTGTCATATGGTTTGTCACTTTGCATCGGTTCATATACAAATATCATGGACGAGTACAATGGATTACTCATGGAAAATGCTTCCTACGCAAGTAATTACGCAGTAAAAAAGAGGCTACTAATAAATCACCACATATATGATAACAATCGAGGCTTAATTGGACCCAATAATTGAAAACAAAGTTCTTAAGTCACCAACATCAACATTTAATGAACATATCTCACATTAAATAAAAATAAAAATATAAAAAAATATAAAAAATATAGAATAGACCATCCATTATAAGATTGGTTTTTTTTTTTTGAATGAAATCCAGACTTAATTACAAAATTTAATATGAAAGAATATTAAATTCATTTTTGCCAAATATTGTTTGCTTTTAATCATTTGATGGATGATGTATCAACTACTCGCCTAATTAACTTTTTAATTGATCGACCCATCTTTTTCAATCATGCACCATCAAGAACCGCATAAATTAATGAAGTGGTTCGATAGCCACGCGTGATTTTTATTTTTTTCGCATCCAAATAGCATAGTGCCTTATTACAGGTCTATACAATGATATTACACAAAGCCCAACCCGCCAAACAAATTAACTGGCGCGCAGTTTGTTTCTGATCTATTTTCAGGCATGCATCATCTATGCTTTATACTATGAAAGTTGTTTTTTTTTTTTTTTTTTTTTTTTTGTTTTTGGATTTGAAGGTAGTTAAGCATATATTTTGAAAATTGATTTTATGCAATCAAGCGTGATTTAACTTCATTTTTTGTTCATGGTTAAAATTTAGATTGTTTTTTTTTTTTTTTTTTTGAAGATTTAGGTCGAATTTTGAAAGAAAAATGTAGGATGAGATTATTATTTTTTTTAAAAAAAGTCATGCCCGTTGTCGTAGCTCTTGAAGACCTGTTCAGTCTCTTAATATATATAAACTCCACTTTCATTTAGATGGGAAATCGATCAATTGAAAATCTCAAAATCCATGTTCTTGATTTCTTTTAACATAGGCTTGATGATTATTATTTTTTTTTTGAGGACAATTATTTCTTGCTTGCTAGTTAATTGCGTGAGAGTTTTTATAAAAAAATAAAGTTACATGAGAATGGTACGTAGATGAACTCAAAAAGAATTCTGTATATTTTGTAAAGAGCTAGTAGCGTTTTCCGCTTGGGGATCTCACATTATCTATTATGATGATTTTATTTTTGGTTGTCAAATTTCATGCATGGTTATTTCAACAAGACTCTTTTCAGTTATTAAGTGCTGCGTCATTAACCAGCAGTACTCATCCCCTTTCCAGCCCAACATATTATCGTAGCCTAGGATGAACGAGTTTCTGTCAACTTTACATCACCTTATTCACTGTATTCTAAGAGTTATTTGATTCTGTCTTAATACTTTTTTAGAATCTTGCATTGCATTTAATTTTTTTGCTGGTTGTTATATATACGTGTAGAACTTTCTTAATTAATTCTCTATTTATGCATTTACAATATAGATTTCATTGCCAATCAGTTTTTTTAAGTGTTTTTTCTTTATTTTATCTGCTATACTTGGTGTTCCTAACTGCTTTTGTTCAGTACACTAGGAAATTATGATCGATGATTTGAACAATAAAATATTGAACATTTTCTTGGACTCTTTTTATATTTTATTAATTCATTTGAGGGTTTCTTTTTCTTTCAAAAAATTTTGAATTCGAATATTTCATTTCTAACAAAAGGAAAAAAAAAGAAAAAAGAAGAAGCTAACTAGCTACATATGTATGAACGGACCTTTTCAACATAACTTGGTAGATTTATATGTTTTTATACTGAATAAAAAGGTAATACCGAGAAGTGATTTAAAAACAAATTAATGACGTGGCATCTAATTAGTTATTATTTTAAATTTTAAGAGAAAAAGAATGCAAGTTTAGAGTTAATTAAGTGGCGATGAATCCTGATTAAAGTTTTAGAAGGGTACTAAAGTTAATTATGACCAATTATACAGTCTATATCAATACTTATCTTTTTCCATGCCACTTTTGAACAATAAATCCGATTCCGTCAAAACTCAGAAATCAATTAAAAGTAAAATTTTCAAAATTTCAGTTTAATTTTGATGGACCAATATAGTGAACGCCTTGTGGAAATAATATTTCAAGTTTTATTTGTGAAAAATGAAAAATATTATGACTCATAAATGCATATATTTTGCTGCTTCTACAAAATAAAATCCCAAGGGAGGTTGTTGCCTTCCTATCTCTACGAGGGTCTCCATGGTTCTGCTGAAGGCTGGTGGCACTGTATAACGTAATATTGCTATTGCAAGTAATTTGACGCAAGCTCTTAATTTCTCTACCCACTGTTTATTAAATTTAAAATAATATATATATGTATCTATTTATGCACTTTTGGCATCCATTATATATATATATATATATATATATATATATAAAGGAATGTTGGGAATAAAATAGTAACTTAATGATCTTAGCACGCCAATTAAGCCAGAATAGGTACACCGTTGAGTGAGATGGAGGGGAATTTTCAGTTGGAAAGCTCTTAATTTTACTTGGAGATGGCTTAATAAAAAGTATGATTAGAGTTATATATATATACACACACACTCGAGAATGGATTCTCTTTGAGAGGTATGAACAGCAGTTTGGCCGGTGCTTGAGCATTTCATATAAGGAAAAACATTTGGCTATCAGTGTTTAAAAAGAAGAGAGATAACCAAGTTTAGAATGAATTTGATATCTTATTTAAACAATTTAAAAAATTAAGTTATGGTACTTAACATAAAAAGTTTATTTGATAATTTAAATAATCTTATATTTAGAATTTAAATTCATTCAAAATTCATTTTATTTGATAACTTAAAGTTTTTAACTTAAAACTTTTTAATTAACATACTCAGTTGAAAATTTTTAAAAATTTTTAAAATATAACTATCATGTAATCCTCATATGTATTCTTATAATCCTTATTACTCTACTAATCATGATTGTGGCAAGCAAACAGAGGTCTTTAGTGATGGCGGAAGAAAGCCACACGCCTGCACCACTGGACATAATAATGCTACGAAACGCTCACCTTTTAGAGATATTGGAAATTCATCTCCAATGGCGAGCCAAAAATAGTAGAGCAGTTCTCCCTTTGCACTGCTCTACGCAGGAAAACTTTTAACTTTTGAAAATTCATCAAATTTCACCCCTTTCCCTATCATACCACATTGACTATATATAAGAGAAAGCCAAACTTCAAATGTTAGCACCCAGCACTAAAGAACAAGTCCATGTTTAGTTTGTGGGGATCCCAATAATTACCATTGCAGTTCCTAAGTTTAGGTCTTGGTTATTGGATTTCTTGTACATTTTCCAACTATGCTTATTTGCTAAGATGATAAGTTGAATTCTAACACATGCAAATATAACTTCACAAGTTCTCTACCTTCCTCCTCCCAAAACTGAAAAAGTTGATATTCATTACCCCTGTTGTAAAAATGTGCAAGAACCTATGTACTTATGAAACAAAAACTAAAGTAGAAGCTTTTAACGAGACAAATAACATGATTCTAATAACTTTAGTTATCTCATTTTAAATGACACCAAAACAAGCAAAATTGAAAATTAACATCTCAACTTTTTATAGCACTATTGCTCCTCTACTAATTCTTAGAGACATAAGCAGAATAGGTGATTAGGTTTCATTCAATTTAGATCAAGTAAAATCACGTGTCTAGCTAATAGTGATACCTCATTCTACTTAATAGAAAAATCCAATATGCATTAAATAATTTGTTCAAAATTTATTTTTGCTTTAGTTGTTGAAGGACTTGACATATTTTATCCTTAAAAAATGGATAAAAACCTAAATTCGCTTAAAAAAATTAAATTCGCTTAAAAAAATATATCTCTAATTTTATCGGGGGATTATTTACATTAAATAACTTGTTTAAAGACTTTTTATGCTTTGATCTATCATACAAAAAGGCTTTGATGCATTTTACCTTTTTAATAATCATTTTTATTGAATTTTTATTTATTTATTTATACACACAAACACATCTATGTATAAATTTTTATTTGTGTTAAAAAATATTATATTATAATTGTAAGGTTATAATTATAATGTATATAACTTTGATATGTTCAAGCAATAGTACTTATCAAATAATCTTATTATATTCAACACTTAATTTTCGGTACGTAAATACCAAATAGTTTGTCGACAATATATTCGGTACTTAATTATTCAATAATTAAAATTCAGTACTTAACTGATTCAACACTTAATTTTTAATTTTATCAAATACTACTTTAATCTCTACTATTACATAATATTCACCTAACCATTATAATAAAAAAAATAATTTAATCATTTCATGCACCAAGAAATTTACAATAAATAAGTCAAAAGGTCTATTTGTGCATGCAGAGCCATATTGCAGAGGAAATATGATATTTATGAAATTAAGATTACTCTTTATTTTCAAATCCGTACAAAATACTCAACATAACCCCTTAAGAGTGAGATATATAATAATATATAAACGTGGAAAGTTCAATTTCTGACGAGGATGGATGGTTATGTAGATCTCATTAGTTTCGTTTGTCGTTCCTTTTCACGTGTTTAATATGCACATTGCTGCTGCTAATCCATCGTTTGGCCTGTTCTCCCCAATAAAATTCTTTCATATCGTTCCTAACTAGCTAGTGATATCGTCAATTATGGCGTATTAATTAGTTAATTGTGTATTAGGGTGGCATCTAACATGTAACACGAAACTTAAGAATAATATAATATCATACAAAAAAATATAAAGATGGCATGGAAGATTTTCTTGCACATATTGTCTCTTAAATTCAGGCCTAACCCTCTCTCTCTCTCTCTCTCTAAGATCAAAGTTATCAAACTTTTACATGTAGCTATAACTAAGTATTTTCATATTAATTGATAAAAGTGTCATGTACATATAGCATTTGCTGCTTATATTCCTACCTTATAATTTATAATATATGAACATGATGAGAATGAATGTCAAAATGATATTATTATTGAAATTATCATCAGAATTTGAGAAATGAAAATAAACGTGAAAAGAATCAAGCAACGCATTAAAGAAGTACCTTAAAATGCGATATTAGTAAATTGTTGAGGACGATACAGCTTTTTAATAACTTTATTAGTACAGAATAACTTAAACACAAAGAAATAAATCAGGTAGTTTGTGCAAGCCAAAAATACCTAAAAAAACCAAAGTTGGGTTGTTGTGCTACAGTTACAGGTTTCATGTTTAAAGTTGTAACGTCTCAAAATCTTCCTATTCATTTCTCCCCAGATCTTAGTTATGAATTGGCTTCTCCTTGTGGCTTTGTCTGGTTTTGGATCCCATTCTTCATGTAAAAAGTGCACGCGGCTGTCACCATATGGGTCCCAAATTAAAGGCTGGAATTTGAATGATTTCGTAGATATAGGTTTTTGTTAGGGAAATCTACTTCTTATTCAGATAAGTTCACGTGTTGTACATTAATTAATTGATGTTAAGCTTTAATTATTTGATGCAAAATTAAATATCGGAATCGGCTTCTTTCTTATTTCTAGCGTCGTTCATCACGTTTGCCAAATCCAAGTAGTTAAATTCAATGAAACATTAGATATTTATCATGAGATCATATAATAATGGGAAAATTTCAATTTAATCCCAAATCTATGATTTTTATCAATTAAATCCCAACTTGTTAATGTATTTTAGTAGTTTAAATCTAATTTGTTAATTTATTTTTATTTGCATCCTAAACTTTGATCACGAAATAGATGTGATATAAGTTTTTGTAGATGTATATAAGTATATGGGATATAATATTCTATTTCAAGTACGTAATCAATTTTTTTATACACTTATTTTTAAAACAAAATAAAATTAAAACAATGATATATCATAAAAAATTACAAATCAAACCTCGATTTCACGGAAGCAACGGGAATACAAATGCAATAAATAATTTATCCCCACATGAAGGTAAGGAGCAATATGGCAAACCTCCTAAATAATCTACCATCTCTTAAGATCAAAAAAGAAAGGGCAAAAAAACATAATATCTATTGTCTAGTATCTGGATGAGATCAGTATGCTTTCAAATGCTGGGCTCAAGTTGTTAAATCCAAGCCCGTGACAAAAGCGAACTATAAAACGACGTAGACCCGGGGAGACACCCATACAAACGATAGGCCCAAATTGAACCACCCCACAGTCCATGGCGTAGGTACGGACAGTAGTTTTGCATCACCCTCCAATCACTAATAGACACTGCAACAACCTCCGAATCAAACTGTCAGATCAAATGAAATCCATTGTCCTTCTCACAGCTATCACAGCCGTCTATTACACAGCAGAAATTGGAATTAAAAAGCCCAGTCAAAGAACCCAACAACCCCACCCACGTAAAGCGGCAATGCCGGCGTAATCTCACGCGCCTACACATGCCTTTCCTCTCTCTAGTGAGTCTCCCAGATCCCAACAGAACAACCAACCCAAAACCCCAAAATCTTGCAAAAACCAAATCCAACAAAAACAAATCCCTAAATCGAAAATAAAAATAAAAATTTAATATAAGTCGAAGCTGGAAAATCTCAAGGAGAAAAGAAAAGTCTCCTCTTCATCCTGAAATGGCGTCGTCGAAGGTAATGGCGTCGTCGAAACCCAGAAACTCGGATCTACCTTCAACAACTCCATCTCGATCGCGACGCGCTACTTCTTCTTCTTCTGCTACTAAACCAGCTCATCAATCTACTGACCAATTATTCCAAACAGAATCAACAATGACAGTGGACGGCATCTTACGTAACGTATACGCCTCTCCATCAACCGAATCAACTCTCCTCGACGCACAAATAACCCTAATTGATACCCCTAACCCTCTTCCTCCTCCACATATCGAAACAAATGATACTGATAATCGAGATATGAGCGATGTAATTCCACAAGAGACCAAGACTGCTGACGATATTTGGAGAGAAATTGTGGCGGGTAGAAAGGAAATGAAGGATGAACCGGACGAGATGATGACTTTGGAGGATTTTTTGGCAAAGGCGGGGGCGGTTGATGTGGTTGGAGATGATGGGGATGAGGTGAAGATGCCTCCGCCGGAGAGGTTGAGCGGAGGATTGTATGCGTTTGATCCTGTTCCGCCTAGTGCATTTCAGGTGTTGGATAAGGTGGAAGGGTCGATTGTTGGGTTTGGTAATGGAGTGGAGGGGGAGCTTGTTGCTGGCAGTGGTAGTGGTGGAGGAAGAGGGAGAAGAGGGAGGACGGTGGTAATGGAACCTTTAGATAAGGCGGCACAACAGAGGCAGAGGAGGATGATTAAGAATCGGGAGTCTGCTGCTCGGTCCAGAGAGAGGAAGCAGGTTAGATTATTTATTTATTTATTATTATTATCATTTCCTAACTTTCCTTTGATTTCTTGATGATTTATTCGAGAATTCTGGGTGATTGTTTGTTTGATTTAAATTTTCGGTGTTTTATTTGGGTTTTAGGCCTATCAAGTGGAATTGGAGTCTTTGGCAGTGAGGTTAGAGGAGGAGAATGAGCAGTTACTTAAAGAGAAGGTAACTCATTTTGTGTTATTTTGAGTATTATCTGGAATTTGGTATTTGGTTACTTTTTATTTTATTTTTCCATCGCGAGTATAACCATGTTAAAACCTTTTACCTAGCTATTTAGGATACCCTAGTAAAATCAATTTGTGGCTTTTAGCTTAGTGATCATGGAGATAGTAGTTAGTAGTTGCTACATTTTCTCCTTGCTGTTCGATTATTGTCTTCACCCTATTCTTTGTCTCATTAAACAATGTTCTTTGAGCTTCAAATGGTAACACAGAAACTTATGTTGGTTATGCAATCTATGGTCGCTCTAGCCAAGACATGAATTGAATTTGGATTGTCCAAATTGCAGTAGCAATAAGAAGAAAAATAACACCAACAGTGCAAGAACCAAATAGCTATACAAACCCAATGGCATAGGACTAGCTGCAGGGATCAATGATTCTTACATTACTCCTTGAACAAGTCAGTGTTAGACTTGTAATGTAGGTACATTGCTTCTTGTGTCCTGATTATCTGTTGTCATGTCTGATGGATCCTAATTTTCGAGTGTGTGTTTGAAATCCATTGATGTTCTCAAAACTTTTCAGAATGTCTTGCTACAATTGAAAAGGATAGAAATAAAAATCCTAATGCATCATTGCACATGTCAGACCTATTGCCTCTTATCTGCAGGATAGCTCTGCAGCGTCTAAACATATGTGAATTAAGACTTGTAGATTTAGATAGTACAAAATAAGTTCAACAATATGCTGTCAATTTCCACATTATGTTTGCATTTACTTGCTTCTGTTTCTTTCATAAGCTTAATTTAATAGACACTACCTCCTCCTCCTTTTTTTTTTTTTTTTTATCTTTTTTATGAGCTTAATATTCTATTTACATGTCTATTTGTGCTCACTGATTAGTTTGTAGTTGTTTTGCTTTCTCCTTACCTTGCCTTTTTCATTTCTTCTATTCAATCTCAAGCACGTGAACATCTCATGATGCTTTCTCCCAGGCTCTATTAGAAAAAAATGTTACTTGGTTAGGACCTAGTGCAGTGCTGTTGATTAAGCATTTTTTCTATAAAATGGGTACACAATGGCACATTGATAGTTTATCAGCTCTGTTTGCATAAACATATAACGGTTAGCATTATTTAAAATTTTAACTGTAACTATCATTTTTATGTGTTGAAGTTAAACAGCAATAGATACTTGTGTGGGTCATGTAGTTATACTCAGCAAGTATGAATTGCTGTGGTTTTTGGTTTTCTCCTTGGGTTTATATGTCTAATTTGCCAGTATGTATGTAGCATAGTTTTTTTTTTTATTAGAAAAGATCTCTCTGTCTTTTTTTTTTCTTAGAAGCATATTGGTGATCTACCTTTTCTGCATGCCACAAATTTCTTTGATGTGATTTCTCTGATCTAACAAAAGCTGCTCATTGTGCAGGAAGAGAGGACTAAGGAAAGATTTAAGCAGGTACTCATTTTATTCTGTTACTATCTGTCTTCTATCATACTGAAAATACTAAAACCCTGTTATAACACACTGTGAAGTTTGCAAGTATAATTGAAATGCATTGAACTCATAAAAATAGAAATTCATTTCAATAGAGGAAGAAACGCTATGAAATGTAACTACTGAAAGACACTGTTTTCACTTGGATTTCCTGTTTATGTTGATAGATGCTTTAGATGCATATAGTTTTAAAGGTGTGCTTGACTTTAGTTTTGAAAAACCACCCAGAGCAGTTTTTTCAAAAACTTGGTTTTAGTGTGTTTTGTTCCGAGACTAATGTCAAAAAGTCAGCTACAAAATGCTTTCGAGTTTTGAAAACCATGGTTTTGGGTTGAAAATTATACCCTTGCAATGGTATGGAACAAAGTGGGACTTGTTGACTTTGGTTAGGACTTCAATTGTGTGGCTGTACGTTTGTGCTTGTATCCTTGTAGTATGGATACATCCATATGCCCATACATCGGGTGGTAGGATGATAATTTGTATTTTGTGTTGATGAATTCTACTTGAAATCTGAAGGGAAGAACTAGATTTGGTTGGCAGAGCAACGCTCATTTCTGAATCGGGTTCCATTCTACCAAATAGGTTTTGAGAGGGAGTTAAATGAACACTGAGTTTGAAAGCGAACCTATGTTCAGAGGTTTTGTAGTATTATTGGATCCAAAAACTCCTAAAGATTCTGAAGCTTAAAAGTCTTTGAACTTTTACAACTGAGGAAAGTGGAAAATGACCGTATCCAAAAATTTAAAGGAGGAAAATCGAAAATTGTTGAGAAATGCTTACCAAATTTTTGCAGAGCCAAATCACCTTATGGAGTAAGAAACTAAAATGTTATGTGCAGTACAGGATGCTTCATAAAAGCATGCAATGGAGAAAATAAAGTAATTTGTGGATATGAATGGGAATTTTTGTAATTGTGGTCTCAATTCTGTGACTGTTATTACAAATCCATTTCGGAATTGCTGTAAACAACCATTTTAAAGAGTTTTTGTAAGGCAATGTTGTTTCCACTTAATTGTTAACATTAACCCATTGAATAAAGTGCAAAATGAAGATACGCTATTGCTTGAAGGTTTCTAGGTCTTAAAAGTACTGCATACCTTTTGTAAACTTATTTGAGCTCTCAATAGAGACTACTATCTATAAATATTCCAAGTAGACTACTATATATTCTAGCATCAACATTGCAAGTAGAGGCATTTATTCTTTAGATGATTCATAGTTTTGACGACCCAGAGCTTCATTAACTTTAGTCGTTGGTTCTTGTTCAGAGTCTTATAGTGAGCATTCACGTGACTCATTCACTTGACGAAGACCATTTGAAATCAGTAGAGAGGGATGCTAGGGAGATAGTAGTCATTAAATTGTTGGCTTTATGTTTTTTATTATTATTTCTTTCTGCTTCTGCAGCTTATGGAAAAAGTGGTTCCTGTTATCGAGAAGCGAAGGCCGAGACGTATGCTCCGGAGAGTCAACTCCTTGCAGTGGTAGATTGTATGCGCTGGAGGTGATAATTCATGCGGTCTCTTACATAGAGGAAAAAGAAAAGCAACATCCTTTTGAAAATTCATTTTCTAGTGGATTAGATTTTGAACCCGATCGTCATTTAGAGCCATCGTGGTTTCAGTGTGAAGAGAGAAAAAGAGGAATTGCAACCTGAATCATAAAGTAAATTCCTTAAATATGAATCAGGGGGCTTCGATCCAGGGTAGGTAGATGGTAAAAAGTTTTAGTTATTTATGTAGTTAGGAGGTGTTGCTATGCAATGCAGTGTTTTGTAACCCTCAATTGTGATATAGGGGGAAGGAGTTCTGGATTAGTATACTGTATTTATGTGCTGGCAAGTTATGACAATTGGCAGAATATAGAGTGGTGGTGGGATCTATTTGTAGCAGACCATGTTTCGCCGTTTTTTTGCTTCGAAGTATTTACAGTCATGTTTAGAGTCCACTTCTTGGAGTTCTGACCATAATGATGCAGGTCCTTGACAGGCGTTCTTGGAATTGCTCTCAGGTTCTGACATTTCTGATGGATGGCCTCTGAGGAATAAAATGTGGAACTCATCCATTTTAGAAATACAAGGGCCAATTATGGCTTTCGGCAACTTAGATCTTAGGCTGTTAAATGGATATAAAATTATTAACTGCTGCCGGAAAGGAAAGTAAATGATGCACACATCAGGTGTAAGGTTAGTGTTGGAACATTTTATTAATTATGAACAATCCTTGTTATTTTTTATTTTATTTCAGGGGATATGATGAATTACTTTTAGTTATTTCTTTTTACATCAATAAGTTTTGGATGCAAGATCTGTTCCCTTTTCCATGGATCCCATGTCATTGTCCTTAGTGCGTGTGCATGGAGAACTTTGCGAAGTCACCCCTGAATGATTGCTAATTAGTTTCCTTGGCCATGGCATTAAACTAATTTGGTCCTCGTGTCGCCCAAGAGCAAGAGAGTTGCAAAGCTGATTATCTCCTTGTATACAATTGCCTCTTAAATACTTTCTTCGTCTTCGAGGAGACAGAGCTTTTGGAGGTACTTTTGCTACTGTTTCTTTTGTCTTTTAGCTCTTGTCATTGCATATTTCAAGTCCTTTTGTGTTGATAAAACTTGGGCTACATCGAAAATTACAATAATTAACAAGTGCCCGCAATCGGCTTTATATTTTTAAGGGCTCCGTTCACTAGATTTAAGCTTTCAAAACTGGTGCTCTTTTTTGTCCTTTTTTTTTCCAACGGAAGACGGGATGAGTTTATGTCTCTTAAAGTTTAGAATGAGGTATTCCTTCTTCATCCCTTGATCCATTCTCATTCTTCGGGACTATATAATAAAACTTTCAGATATAAATAAGGTGAGAGGAGCACTTTACGAGAAGGAAGAAGTTTTGAAACTGTTCTGCGTGAACAAACTACAGGAATTAATACCAGGTCCAAAAAAATTTCTTTAAGAACCAGGAGTTTAACACTTTGAACTACTCCAACTAAACTGTTTTATAATCAATTTTTCAACTTGTCTTTTGTTTTTTTTTTTTTTTTTGACCTGCTATGAACTCCCTATGTAGAAATTACTTAATAGGTCAAAAAGAAGAAGAGTGAGTAGAATACACTAATTTAGTTAAAGTACCTTGGACTTAGGAACCAAGTATGCAAGGTTCTCGCTACAGACAGGAGACTCAGTTGTCGCTACGTTTAACTGTTGGTTCATATCTAGAGAAGAACAAAAGAAATGGACCACCATGCAGTTACCAAGTCTGCATGCCAAAAATTTAAACCGTGCAGAGAGCCTGCTTTTCTTCGACACTATTTGACAAATTTGTAGAGCGTGACTCTACAAAACCATTTTCTACATTTTCCCTATCTTCTCTTAAATTAATCTCTAAACCTAGCTCTAAGAATTCAATTGAGATATCTTATAACGTTTCAAATTTATTTTACCAACAGCTTCGAGTCTTTCCGGCAATACATCAGCTAGAGAGAGCATTTGTTTCTCGATTTTTTTGTTTTTCGTTTTTTTGTTTTTTCAAGTATGTAAAGAAGTTAAGATAGCGGAGATGCTAGAAGATTTAGAGAAAGAAAGGAGTGCCAAGGGCAAGCTCTATCGCAGCAATTGCATTCAATAATGGGTACCCTTAGCAAACTCATCTTAAATTTTGTTTGGCATGACTTGTGGAAAATAATTTTTAACTTCAAATCATTAAATAATTCAAAATTTATATTTTTTATAAATAATTTACAATAAAAATGAGTTAAATTAAAGCATGTTTAACAAAGATTGATTCAAAACACTTTTTTTTTTTTAAGAGGGGCAATATAAGTTGATATCAATAAATTAAAAGTTTTTTTTTAAAAAAATCAATGTGTAAAAAATATTAAAGTGGCGTCTCTCTGCTTATGAAATAGGACTGGATTTCTTCACAAATTATGAGGATCGTCATACTGTACAAGTTGAAGATTTTTTTTTTTTTTTACTGGTACAAGTTAAATATTTAAATTAAAAAAAGTGAAAGATTTATAAAAGAAAGTAAATTAGATTCCTCACCTCCCAAGAAAAGAAAATAATACTACTTTGATGAAGTGATTATAGGCTTTATAGCTATTGACAGCAGAGGGTTATAATCACGGAGCTAATCATTTTAGAATAATAATCTCCATCATTTTCTTTTAGAGCACCCAAAGTTTCCCCTCTCATCCTATATTATTCCCCTCTGCTTTTCTTTTTAGAAAGTTTTAAGGCAAGTTTTTCCACAACAAAATCATTCCACCTTTCACTGTATAAAATAATAATAATAATAAAATTTTTTTTTTAAAAAAAAAACACCTTCTCCAATATCCATGTCTGTCATCCCATTCAGAAAACTCCTCACATCAAAAGCCAAACACATCTGACATTTTGCCAGTCTCCTCCTTCCCACTTTCTCCAAAGACCCCCTTCTCCCTGTGGCAGACACATTTTTCAAAAATCTCTCTTTTGTTGTTTGATGAGCCAGAGGGCCAAAGAGCTGCAGAAACAAGGCTACAACCACCAAAGGCTTTGGTAATTTAAGTCCTCTCATGATCATTGCCTCTCAGTCAGAAAAACAAGAGCCACAGCTAATGAAGATTTTCTCCATGCTTCTATTTCTGCTCTCTCTTCTCTCTCTTCTCTCGCAACCTTCTTACTCCACAACAATCCTAGTGGATGGTGTTTCAGAGTGGAAAAACCCCGATGTTTATATAGGAGACTCCATCGGTAAGTACTTGAAAACCCACCATTTTTTAGTTGCTTTCTTTGTTTTATATATATATATATATATTTCTGAGCTACAAACTAACAACATTACATTTTTATTTTTATTGGCTCCTCTCAGTTTTCAAACACAAGTATCACTACAAATTGTACATTTTCCAGAACCAAAGAGCCTTCGATCTCTGCAACTTCACACAAGCTACACTTCTCACAAAGCCCAACTCCACCTCCTACACGGTATCTCTTCTCCCTCTCTCTCGGTTGGAATTTCAGTAATGTACAAAATCCCATGTTTTCCTCTCTCTATATATACATGCACAGGCCACCGTAAAAAATGTTTCAAAATTTTGGCTCAAAATTCATAGTTCTTTAATTACCAATTTATTTTTACCATGTGCTAACAATTTTTCATGTTTAAAATGCAAATAACTAAAGTGGCACCCATCACGTCCTGGTTTCTTCTACTTCACATTCCACAATGGCTCTCTAAAATTCTGCAGTCAAGACTCACAAAAACTCTCCATAAAAGTCTCTCCAGCACCATCACCGCCACCAGTGCAACTCCCTCCAATGCCATCTCCTCCAGTTCCAGCACCAACTCCAGGCGACAAGGTGTCATCTTCTCCTGCATACCCGTGGCCATTCCGTCCTCGAGATGAAACAGCCTTCTCCCCTGCTCCTGCACCTGGTGGTAGTGCTGCAAGCTCTCCAATGACAACAGTGCCAACATTGATGCCAGATAAAGGTGGCGGTAGCGGCGTGCCTTTTATTAATAGCAATCCTGCTGTTCCTCTGCCTACTGGGGAAATCGATTCTGCCACTATTAGGCCCTTGCCCACCTCCGGCCATCATCAACTGGTATTCCATCTCTGCCTTTATGTCTACTTATTACTATGTATTTATTGTTTCTATGGAATACACTAATTAATGCGATAAGTTACGGATTGATTAGAATTCCCCATTTTTGTCTATATATATATGAGGAATAAAATTGGTCTTTCAATTTCTTTTTAAAATTGTGTCCTCAGTAATATCATTCTCAGAGAAATTGAACAAAAAATGTGAAAAACGAAAGATTTATGTAGATCTTTTTCTACACAAATTAAAAGAGAATGGTACAATATGCAGGTATAATGGAGTAAATTAAAAATTAGTCGCTCTGATTTCAAAAAATAAATTAATAATTTTTTTATTTTAAAAATTATAAATTTAGTCTTCATATTTTTTAATTTTCTTGTAATTTAATTATTTTCAAAATAAGTATAAATAATTAATAAATAATCGGTAAAAAATGACATTTTATCAAATAAAATAACATTAATTAAGTCGGATTGATATTGATCAAAAATTAAATAATTAGTTTTTAAAATAAAAAATTTATTTATTTATTTCTTAAAAATAAAGAGAGATTAATTTATAATTTTACTAAGTGATCATGTGATCTATATACTCAAGCAGTAAAGCGTCATTCAATTTATTTTATTTTAATGTAAAAGCAATATTGTGTGTTTGTTGGACTGGTCTTGATGGGGATGTTTGACCACGGGTTGTTCTTTTTGGTTTTGGGTGGAAATGCAGGTGGCAGTGGGGTTACTTGGATCTCACATGCCTCTATTTTCTGTGCTTTTGCTGCTGCCGGTGCTGTAAAATAGAGGAGAGATTGAGCAATTTGTGTAAAAAAATCGGTTTTGAGTAGGATATAATATAATATGCATCAAGTACTGTAGTTAAACAGTCTAAAGTAGCTTTAGCGGTGATGATGATAATGATTATGTATGATTATGCCATGTATTGTGATGCCCCTCTTGAACCCTACTTCGGAATCATTGACACTTTTGGTCTTTTGCTTTTTGACATGCAATCGATTACCGCTCCTTTTCCTTTTCCTCTTTATTTCCTCAATTTGTACATTTGAACGAATTTGAAGTTCCAACACTAACAGGCTTTTTGGTAAAGTTTTTTCCTTTCGAAAAAATAATTCTTATAATTAAAGAATTGTGTTTTCACGATGACTTTACTAAATTTTCTCTGCCAAACCAGGACTTACATTCTGTTTGGGAGATGAGAAAACGAAGAGAACGAAAGGAGGAGAATGAGAATGAAAATAATGAGAGATTAATATAATTTTCCTCCTTCAAGAGAAGAGAAGAAAATGATGTTAAACAAAATAAAAGGAAGGTTGGCAATAGATTTTAATAATTAAAGGTCCATATTTGCCCTCGTATCTTTTAACACATAAGCTAGAGGATTAGGGGTAAATTGATATATTAAAAAACATTCAAATTTTGTGTAAGATTTTTTTTTCCATTTTCTTCTCATTTTCTCTCCTTTTTTTTTTTTTTTTTTTTTTCAAACTATGGAAAATTACAATCACTTCAAATTTTCATTCCTCCCATTTTCCTTCCCCCCATGACACTTTCTCCTCTGACAAACACATTATTAATCTCAAGAATAGTTTGTAGTCACAATGAACTTGGAATTTGGAATCGGAGTGAGCTTACGACGACCATGTTTATTAGAATTCTAATCCTCATTTAAAAAGAAAACTAGGAAAAACTATATAGATAATCAGAAACCTTTTTTTGTTAAAACTGCAGATTTTGCCTCCTCAATGAGTTGAAACTTCGGCCTAATCTGAATTATGTCCTGGGGTGTTTGTGTTTAATTGGATAATAGACGATAGTTTTGTAAGCATAAGAAAACGACCAAGAAAATTTTAATGAAGATAATTTTATGTTTTTTTTTTTTTTTTTTTTCTGTCATATATGTTCCTAAAATTTAAATTATTGAATTTAAAATAAATATGATAAAAATAAAAATAACAACTTAACTCCTTATTACTCCTTATTAGTGATTTTCTCGTATATAATCCAAATTCTTGAATTCAAACTAATTGCAAGAATTGAAACAAGACCAATCAAGTTCTGAGAAAAATCAAATTCATAAAATTGAAAATAAAAAAAGAGAGAGAAAGTCAAGTAACAAACAATCAAGTTAGCTCTTCTTTTGTAATAAAGCTTTTTACGAGCTCAAATCCTCTTGTAAGTATAAAAAAACTTACTGTCATTAGATTAGAGGTAGTCGATAACAAATCTAATAACCCGATCTAATATTCATGAAGTATGCGAAAAATTGATGCTTTTATTTTTACGAATTCTATAGCAATCTTCAATTTAGAATCCTACCGGTGCAAACACTTTCCAGGCTTCGTTATTTATTTTTTTTTACGACCCAGCTTCATGCGTTTGCTGAAGCTCAACAATTTCCAAGGTATACATCATAACATTTTTTGCACATTTTTTTCAGCATCGTTAAGACATCTACAGGGCCAAACTTCCTAGCATAAGATCCAATAAACAAATTGTTTCTGGGGAATAAAGACACGCAATTCTTTTTGCTTAAAAGAAAGTACACAGATAAAATTGCTAAAAACCTTCAAAACTCTCCAAAATTTGTTTAATTCCAGGCCGGCCAGGTTGCAGACTTGGACTCCAGTAGGTAAGTGCATTTCTAAAGGGAGAAATAAGCATATACGAGTAAAGAAAGATTAATATTATGAAAAGAGAAGAGTCAAAGTGAGAAGAGAGCATGTACTTACCCTGTAATAGTTAGATTCGCTGGGGATTGAAACCGACAAAAAGAAAATGGTAAGGAATTCACAAGAGAAAGAGAAAACTCTCGAGAGAAAAATTGGTTAGCTAAGTGATGAAGTTCATATCATCAATATCCCTGTTTATAAAGCCCTAAAGCTACCATAATACGATATAATCAAAATTGATTGGAATCTTTTTATTAAGTACGAAAATAAAGTCTTGAATTATCTAGGAACATGCGCTAGAATCTTTAGTAAACAGAAAAATTTACTCTTAAATATCCGCTATCATTGGAAATTGCGTTTTAGTCATGCCGAAGTTAATTTTAAGACTGGTCATCCTCTATATATGCATTTCTGAGAATGAGAAAAGGCATTTTTATAATTTCTTCGGAAATTTTCAAGTGCATTGGTCTCTCAATGTGATCTAGAAACATTAATTTCCTTTCTTCCCTTTTCTATTTTGTCTGAGACGGATACCCTATTTTTTGAAATAACTAAATAGAAAGGCTAGATATCAAAAGAAACAATTTTAAATAATAATTGAATTTCATAAATAGCTAATTAAACTATAATCGGATCCCTATATATATATATATATATATGTGAAGCTTGGTCTTTGAGATTTTTTTTTTTTTTTTTAACTCACACCCTTAAGACTCCTAACAAAACTAATATGTTAGAATTTGAACTCTTGACATTTTGTTGCAATAGACCACTACTAGTGGACTACAAGCTCTATAGTTGGTCTTTAAGATTTAGTCCTTATGGTTAACATTTGTGAAATTTTATTTTTATTATACTTAGAGTCGTGTGTTAGAGATTATCTTTTAATCATGTTTTAAAAAAAATTAATTTCAAAATATACAAAAATTTATCTGAAAATACTTTTATTGTTGAATTAAAAATTTTTTTTTGCAAAGACAGCTCGACTAACTTTGACTTCATAAAAAAAGGAGAAGTCCTTTTTTTTTTCCTTAAAAAAGAAGAAGATAAAATTAGATTAGACCCCACAAAAAAAGTGATTTTATATTTCAAATATATATATATTTTTTTACCCATTCCTCTTTTCCTTTTCTCAAAATGCACCATATAGGTTATTATTGACAGTTAAAGTTTCTTGATAATCACTAAAAAAATTTTCTTTATTTAAAAAGAATATATATATATTATGTTTCATGATAAGATCGTATCTGGGAAATGCTAAATTCCAATCTAAGATTTAATCTTAGTTTTAATAGCGCACTTGGGAGAGAGCAAAATAGTGAGCTAGTATGTAGGTACATTGAACTTAGAACTTGGAATGGTACAGAGCTTACAATAAACCTGTTTATTAGAGTTCTAATCCTGTTTTAAAAAGTAAGAGGAATCTTAATTTATCCCCTAACGTATTGTTTCATTATCAATTGAATCCTAAATATTTAATTTTATCAATTTTGCTCCAATGTAATCAACATTAGATTCCATCCATCCCTAATCAGTGATAATTGAAAAAATCCTCATCAATTTGTATGTGTTCGTTGAGTTTTTTCATCAAAGCATCAAAATAAACTTCAATCTGTCTTAAAAGATAAATTTAACACGGTATTATGGCCAATATATTATAGAAGCTAATGAAGTGGAATGAAAAACAAAAGAAAAAGTATTTGATGCGACAATAAATTTGTCTTTAAAGATAAATTGAAGCTTATTTTTATGCATTAGATGGAAATACTTAACGAGTTTGTGCAAATTGAATGATTTTTTTAATCTTTCATTAAAGCTGGATGAATGGAGGGATGCATTGTTTAATGCTGATTACCTTAGGAATAAAATTGATAAAATTAAAAAGACCCGGAACTCAATTGATAATGAAATAATATATTAAGGACTAAATTGAGGTTTTCTCAAAAGAAACCCAAGAGAGTTGTAATAATATATTGTTTAACACTACATAGGAAATTAGTAACCTTTTGCGCTGACTGGAAACATTTTTACTCCTTTAGAGAGTTGAAACTTATGTCTATGTTAGGGCATATTTTCTTATCTTCCTTTTCTTTTTCTTTTTTTGGTTTATTAAGAGGTTTTTGATTGATTTTGGATTATATAATGAAATTATTTATCTTTAATTAGATCATAGAGGATAATTAGTATGCATATGAAACTGACTTAAAAATATTACCCATACCATAAAAAAGTAAAAATTAAGGATGCAAATATAACAAATAGATCGAATATTTATGAAGCATACAAAAAAATGATGCTTTTATCTTTTGTGAATTGTAAAACAATCATTATCTTGTAATCCTAGTTCAGAGCACAGAGCAAGTAGCAACTCGTCTTCATTGATTTTTTTGACCAGCCAAGCTTCAATGATTCAGCTTCCTTGCGTTTGCTTTAGCTCAACAGTGTCCACTTTATCCATTACGACATTTTCTCTCTTTTTCTTAGCTTCAACACCATTTCATATGGATCAGCACTGCCCTCAGTTGATATGGATCCTTCTTCTCTACTAACGGAGGCCTCGGACAAATTTCCTTCCAGAAGATCCAACAAGTGCATAAAAATTCATTTCTCAGGTTCAATGGAGGGAGAAATAAAAAAAATTGCAACACAGGCAAAAGAAAATTAATAATAACCTTTAAAACTCTGCAATGCTCGTTCAATTACGGGCCAGTTCGCAGGCTTAGACTCCACTTTGAAAATGCATTTCTGAAAGGAGAAAAAAGCATGGATGAATCTAGAAAGATTGATAGGATGAAAAGAGAGGAGTAGTCGTGGGAAGAGAGAACACATACTTACCCTGAGATATTTAGTTTGGCCGTCCATTGAAATTGACAGCAAGAAAGTGGCAAGGAATTCACAGGAGGGAGAGAAATATGGCTCCACTGAATGATGCTCGACTTCATATGATCTGTATTCCTATTTATAACGCACTACTAAAAGCTAATCAAAATTGATTACATTCTTTTCATTAATTAGTAAAATAAAGTCTAATCAAAATTGATCACATTCTTTTCATTAATTAGTAAAATAAAGTCCTCAGTTAATTTTGAACGTGCACTAGAATCTTTAATGAACAAACATATTTAGTCTTAATTACATAGCATCACCGGAATTAAAAAAAAAAAAAAAACATAAAAAATATACTAGTATTCATTGTATCCTCATTTGATGGGACTGGAAAATTGTGATTAACATTATAAGAAACCTGCCAACAAGTTATTGGCCTAATGACAAAAGAGTTGTTCTCTTAATGATTTTTTTTATCAATATATATAATTTGAATTTTAGAATTAGATTTATTGAGAAGAGTTAAATTTTATTGTTTGGTTTTGAATGTAATTAGTTCTCTCTTCAATAAGAGATGGATATACTGGAGAAAATAAAAAACATTATAAGAAGCCTAGGATGCCACGTATGATGAGGACTTGTTAGCAACTTGGTTCACACGGCCTTAGTCCCCAAATCATATTACCGTCTCGCACTATATTTATGGTATCAAAAAGAGCCGTTAGCCTCCCGCCAAGGTGAAAACATACATGAAAAGCAACCGACTTTTAACTGTTCATAACAGTTTATCGCAATCCAATATTAGGAAGCAATGAATATGTGCTTTTCTTATGTACACACATCAAAGCCACCATTTCATTTCTTCTTTTGCTTCGTTAAAATGCATTGCATGTTTCTTCATTAGCTATCAATTCTAAATTTATCAGAAGTATTTTCTTTGAAAAGAAAATCTTAATGAGCCATGGAGCTAGAACTGGGACTCAAGATCACCCACACCAGAGATGATATCCCCTCATTTGTCGACCTTCGGATTGCTAAAGACCATGCTGGTCCTCTCTTCTTGTCTAGAGAAAACGAGACCATGTTCAGCCTTGTTGCTTATCTCAAAGGTAATTAACAACGTTAACACTTCCAATTCATGCTGTTCTTATTGTGTTATGATCATGCTGGATATTGCGATTACAATTTGAAACGATGCAGGTTTTAGAAAGGAGAATATTGACATCAAGATTAATGAAGATGGAAACCGGATCACAATTAGTGGGAAGAAGCCAGTTCAGGAGATGGTCTTGATAGGATGGATTGTGCACAAGAAAGAGGTTGAGTTAAAGGCATTCCGGAAGGCCTTTCAAATTCCTGATGGGGTCATTTTGGATAAAATCAAGGCAAAATTCAATGATGAAGAATCGACTTTGACGATTATTCTGCCGAAATTGGTGAAAGGAATTCGTGGTGTTGAGATGGAGGAAGTGACGGAAAAGGAGGTTGATAAAGGAAGAGGTGAAGCTACACAAGCTGTAGCTGATGAGGTTCCTGAAGGAGAGTATAGAGAGCCGGAGATGAACAAGCTGGAAGAAATTGACCAAGCTGAGCAAAAGGAGATGAATATAAGGGAAGCTCAAACAACAAGAGGTGTAGCTCTTGAACTTCCAAGGAAAGAAAAAGATGAGGAAGCACTGAAGGAAGAAAGCACAGAGCCCAAGATAAGAACAAATCAAGAAACTGCTCAGGTTAGGGAGCAGGTAATTGATCAAGGGCAATTTGAGGCAGCAGAAGAGGTGGCTGACACGAACCGTGAAAGAGACAAGAGCAAAGGGATCCTACAGGAAAAATCTCAAGAGCCAAACATTAAAAGCAAAGAAGAAACTGAAAAGGTTGTAGAACCTAAAGCTGATGCAGGTGAACTAGTGCCTGAAAGAGTTGTAGATACAACCTTACAAAAGAAACATGAGCCTAAAGTTGAAAGCGAATTAGAAGAAGCCACTCCTGATAAGGCAGAACCTCATGCTACTGCTACTGCAGCTACATATCAGGAAACAACAATCAACGAGCCTAAGCAAGTTAAGACAGAGAAAGAGACTGAGCACCAAGGGCCAAAAGAGCCCACTCCAGCTGAAGAAACTAAAAGCGAGGAGCTTCCTGGTTTGAAAGAAGAGGGGAAGAGACAGGAAACTCCAGAGGCCAAGAGCACGCATGAAGAAAAAACTGAAGAACATCCTCATGGGCAGGAGCGCAATCATTTGACAGAAGCTGTCATGGATCAAGAGACGAAACCACCAGAAGTGTCAAGCCAGCCATCAACTCAAGCTGATCAAGGACTTGAGACAGAAGCAAATCATCTAGTCCGGGCTGAAACATTACAAGAATCAGAAAAGCAGGAAACAGAAACAAAGGTTCAAGAACCAACGATACCTCGATCTGATCAAGAAAAAATGCTGGCTGAAACTCCACTTCCTGCAGAAAAATCAAGAAATGATGAAGCCCAAGAAATCAACAATGCATCAACTCATGATGTTGTGGAAGAGCATGAATTGCTAGAGGAACAGAAACAGAAAGATCCCGGTGAAGGATCAATGAATACAAAGAAACCTCTTTCAAGAAGAACCAAGCTCTGTCCTCCTCTTGTTGTTGCAGGTTCAGCCATTCTTGTCTCTATCATAGTGCTTGTCATTAGTTGGATTAGAGCTAAGAAAAGATGAATTATATGTAACCCAGTGGCTTGCTTTGCTTTGTTATTGTTGACAACAATAAAATGTAGTACATCAAAATAGCCAATCCGCTATAGAATGAGTTGAAGTTGACATGAGTTTTAATATTTGCACAGGATACTATTCTTTTTAATTCTGAATGACAGCGACCAAGCTCGGATATAATGCCTAATTGCTATCATACATATGCATTTTTACAAGCATCTAGCATCGGGTTGAGACTCGCCTAATTAGCGAATTAAAACTCAACTTCCACATATTACATTTCCCGGTTAGAAGTAAATCTAATTCAAAGACATTGATACTGGGATACTGCAATAGAATGAAGGTGTGATACTTTGTTAGGACTAGAATATCTAGGGTCCAACCGCTACACCAATATTCTCGGTTGTGAAGAACATAGGTTGTTTCTGCGATTGTGATTCAATCTTAACAGAGGTAAATTCTCTAACTTCCTGTCCAAGATATAGAATCACTTCATGTTCCTACAATCAATTTTGGGAAATAAGATTCCTTAGAACACACAGCAAGCGACTGAATCTTAAAACTTAATGATCAGGAAGTATATTTAAACATATGCGTTGCTGAATAAGGTAGTTCCAAGATGAAGAGACCCTTAAAATCAGCTGTCAACCAAGAATGAACTAAATATTCAGTTATATCAACTAACAAGTAAAGGACTAAATATGCTACTAGTTTGACAATCCTTTTTTACACATTCATCAGTGTTTTTGTGGTTTCAAGCTTTTATTTCCCAACTTCTTGCTCTCCACCCCTAGTGGTTGGAGGCCTTTAGGAGTCTATAATGTTGTATTCATTGCAGCAGATATCACAGAGCTAAGAGATGGTAATACTTGATCAAATAATGAACAACCATGTCACATACAGATCATATCAGAAAAAGAAATGAGATTAATGGAAGAAAATCAACTAAACTCTCCCGGTTAATTGGGAGAGCACCCCCTTTCCAGTTAATACTGAAAAAGCATACAATTGACTCCACAGAAGCAATTCATATACCCAAATGCTATAAATATCATGTGTGGTGTCTGTGTATTTATGTGTGTATTAGGCCCATGTAGAGCCCAGACACGTTGTACATCACAAGATGCCATGTTCAAAGTTCCGCATAACCTAGTTAAGAGGGGCCATTATTAGTTGAATAACTTGAAAAGTACGCTACCCTTTTGTGCTGTTACAAGGGCCCCATCTTTCTTGAAGCCTTGCAGGTGCAGAGCTTCTGCAAGCTAAAGTAGGTTGCATAAAAAAAGGTCTGATAGCCCGGTTTGCATTGAGATAAAATCCAGAAATTGTACTGAGAATTGTCGATATGTCCAATTAAGTTTTCGATCTTCAAACTTCTGGTGTATTTTAAGCAGTACCAAGGTTAAAAAGAGAGGATATTTTCTTTTTGTAACTCAAAAAATATAAGTTAATTTTGGCCTTTATTAATGTCGAAGCGTACGAATCACTTCCACGTGATAAACATCGTAGTGAGGTAGACTGATCATACAGAAACCAAACAGGGATTTAAGCTCCACCAAGAAAGGACAAAAATAACTTTTAGAAATTAAAGCTCAAGAGTTATGAGAGCTACCCAATTGTAAGGAGGACCAGTATCGTCGCGGACTCTCCACTATTTCTCTAGTTGGTATGTAAACGTCTAACCTGGTCTATTCAGAGTGTGATATTTCACCAACCATGCCTGTGCTGCATAAATAAATAAAGGGTTGGTTGTTGAAGAAATTTCCTTTAAAAAGCATCGATAATGAAGTTCTTGGAGAGGAATGACAAGTTTTAAGGCTTCGGCCATCTATTATTTTGGCCCAGGCCAACTGTTTGCAGTACCAGACAAGAAATGGCCATCAAATGTACGAAGCTGAATCAAGTAAACAATAAAACACAAAGCAAGCAAAGGTGTCCTCAACATGACTAAAAATTAGGCCACGATTGATATGTTTTATAACTATAACTGACCGTCTCCAACTACTGCCAAGTGGACTTCTGCCAAGCTCGCACAAGTATTTATAAATATACTAATCTGAAGATTGGCTAGATCAATTATTTTGCCGACAAACCAAAAGTTGACACCTGATAGGATAACGTACTTGTGGCTAGAAAATCAGTCCGTACCATTTTTGAAGCCGCTAGAGGTTCCCTAAAATTTGAGCTCATCGCCTAGTCTAATATCGATTTACTGCACTAGTTTAAAAGGGTGATATCGAGTGGTGGTAATAGAGTCTAAGAGTATAAAAGGCATACTTTACTTTTAGAAATTCGAAAAGGTTAATTCCTCCTTGAACATGGAGCTATAACCTTTATTGTAGATGTGGTGTTCTTGTTTTTGTAATATTTGCTGGAAAGAAATCAATTTTTGTCATAAATAAGGATGGAAAAGAAGGATGCAAATCAAAGAGCGAATATCGCCCACGTTAGAAGACGAGAAGGGATAGAAGGTGGGGTTGTCATAAATAAGAGATGTGCGGTGGAGGCTTTCGTAGTACAAAGATTCGCGAAACTCAACAATAAAGCAAAGCATAACAAGCTGGTGGTTAGAACATAGATACAACTTACAAGGGGTGTGCAGACGTGATTTTTATTTTTTATTTATTTTTTTGGCGGAGATATGGGAGCATAGATGAGTAATTTATAAATTAATCCATCTATTGGTGCATAGATTACAGCAATGAAAGAAAGCATTATATTGCATTTTCTGTACTGACACCTAAATTGGAATTCTCACCAATACATAAAATCTAGTCCCATGTCTAGTTGTATATCCATAAATAGCCTAAATGAAAATAGAATCCCATCAAAGTCCCATTAAGTGCCCCGGGCACCCTCTTATTGAATGTTCATATGGTGGAGATCAAGAACGTAACATTTCTGTTTCTAAATCAAGTGGGGTAAACAGTGAAAGTTAATTATGGAACAGGCAAAATTTCACCCACAAGCATATCTTGGGAACTTGGCTGATGTGGTTTTTTTCAGGACAGAATAAAAATTCCAAGGATATCAACAGCAGCTTTTGTCTTCATCAAAAGATTAAAAAAAGGAGCTCTAGAAAGTCTTAAAATGCCTTCTATTCAAGACAAACAAATTGCTGAAATTATATTCTAGATGCGAAATGTTTAGGGGGTCAAAATGCCAGAAGTTTCAAGGACTCGAAATCAGACTGAATCAAAGTCAACTACAAAAAACGGATGCCACCAATTAGTTGCTCAAAGATATTATGCCAAGATATTGAACTACTACGCAAATTGCAAGAAGAACAATATAAAAATAAGCCTGAGAAGAAGTTCATAGGGCAGCAAATCAAAGTCAAATGAACCTCTTAGCTAATAGAAAACTTGGAGCTTTGACCTATTATACGTAAGACCCAACTCTGTGATATAATGCAAGCAGAAACTCTATTTCCAGCAGTAATTGATTGGTGGTCACAGGTTAATCAAGTCAAAAGAAAACTTCAAAATGGAATTGTTTAGTCTTTATTTGCTCAAAAAAAAAAAAAAGAGGAGTCGATAGAATTATGAAATGGAGGATAAAGAAGATCTACCCCTGTCCTCGTCCATGGAGACAATAACTGTAAAGTTGAGATATGGGCAAAAGCTGATAGATGCAACATTTCCCAATTGAATCCCTTGAAAGAAGATCGGGTCAGGAGCAGGCAAAGAAATCTTGTTAAGGCAATTGCCCCTATTACAATGTCAAGCGATCACCAATTTTTTGCAAGAGAGAGAATAAATAAAGAAAGACTACCTGCACACTCAACAGATTTGAGATATGAGAACAGAAGATCTCATCACATCAATAAACACAATTGCAATTTCTGTTTGTATCAACCCCAGCTATAAACATTCTCAACAAAAGTGATAACAATGAGATAAATACAATTATTGTCAGCTTGTAATTGCATTAAAAAACCAGCAAACGTAATAAACAAAGATCAAAACACAGAAGATTATATGTATACCATTAGCAAAAAGAAAATCAAAATCAAGAACACAGAATCAGCTACAACAGCAAGATGCATTTTTTACCCAGAAAGTTTCGATTATACAATAGCAAGAAAAGCTGGAGATCAGCAACCATGTACTGCAAACATCCCCCCAATTTCCATAACCTACATTTCTTTACACAACATATAATCCTCCCCCCCCCCCCCCCCCCACATAAATACAAGAAAAATTTCTTTCCTTACCCATTTATTTTCAAACCACGCCTCAGAATCATTCTCGATAACTTCATCTCCTTTCATTTCCCAAATCACAAATGGCCCATCACTCGAAACTTCACTCGTGATTAGGCCTTACCAAAGAATCAAGCCCTTCAGTCCGGCAATGAACAATCCTATGGAACACCTCTCTCACTCGTCTTTCCAAAGGATCCAATCCTTCCTTTAAAATCTCACAAACATTTGCCAATTCCCTCACTTTTTGCCTCACCTCTCCTTCTTTTTCCTCTGTTAACGGAAACTGAACCCAATCCGTCAATTCGCTCATAACCCTCGTACACTTATCCATCTGATAAAGCTCTCTCAACAACCCGCAAGCATTCCTCCTATCCCTTCTCCGTGACTCCTCCAAAATCCTCTCGTGCAACGACAACACCGATTGCGCCCATGGAAACTGCCTGGGAGTCGAAAAATGCACTTGCAATCCTCTATCCTGGCACGGAATCGCAGCCACAAGTGCCCACATTACAAAAAGCAAAATCGTATTCATGGTGTAAACAGCCACCGCAATTCCATTAGTGGACAAAACTTCATTCCCGCGCGGCGCAACCAAATTGTTCCCAATTGCCTGCAGCTGCCTCGCAGCAGACCATGACCGCGACACGCTCCATGACAACGATCTAAAATGCCCAAGATTCCTATGATGCTGGTCTCTGGAAGAAGCTTGCTGTCTTCCAAAAGACCGATTTCTATGAGCCAAAGCGGATGCAGTTGAATCCTTCTCATCTAACATAGAAATCGACAAATCAATCAAAGCTTTTTTAGCACGGCGAAACTGACCTTCACCAAACATTCTCTGATTATCCAAAGCACACAAAACAATCTCCAAAAGCTTCTTCCACTCTCTGATCTGCTCAATTCCATCACGAACCGCGTTACAAACATCTAAAGCTTTGACAGTCCGTTCAAAAAAATCCTGAACTAACCGGTCCAACGGCGGTCTATGGACCAACGACTTGTGATTGAACAAAATCACTCTAAACTCCTCCTGACAACAGAGGAAAGAATCAAGAAGTTTCCGGATCCAATCTAACGAAAGCAAACGATCAGGCCCGGCCGATGATAAATCAAGAAATCGGTCGGTAACTTGTTTCTGAAAGGCCTCGAGTTCGAGCTCGAGAGATGAGGCAGCGGGAGGAGAGTCCATGGAATGGACCTGGTCGCGTCGGAGACTTAAAATAGAATGTCTAAGTGATGCCGACGAACCTTGATAGTCCGTGGCAGGCATTATCACATTAATAATTGTTTAAAAACGAGAGGTTGAGAGTGATTTTAGAGAAAGAGAGAGAGCGAGCAAGAAGAAGAGGGTCTGAGAGGCTTGATGGCTGTGAGAGAGAAACCCTAAGAGGGAGGGGGATTTTATTGGGAGAAAAATGGACCGCGTTACATGGTGGTTGGAATTAGAAAGGTCTAATTAAACGACAAGGTCTTCTTAATTAAAATTAACATGCTCTAAAATTAAGGATTTTAAATTTTCGTCTTTTTTTTTTTTTCCTTATTCCTGAACTATAAAGTAGTTTGAAATTAAGTTCCAAAACTTTTTTTTTTTTTTGATTTTGATGATACATGAACTTCATAAGTTTTAAAATAATTTCATTTAATTTTTTCAACTATCATTTTTTCTTATAAAAAAATATAATTCTTTATATTTTAAATTGAAATTTTTGCACAAGTTGAAAAAATTGAGAAGTTTTCAAATTTAAAAACTATATTTATTTATTTATTGAATATTTAAAATATAAAAAAATTGAAAAAAATTAACTCTGAAAGGATCCTAATTGTTTTAAATATTCCTACATAGTTCCCACTAAATGATTTTCATAATTAATTATTTATATAATTATTATTTTTTAAAATAAATAATAAAAAACTAAAAATTAGGTTTAATCTTAAAAAAAAATAAAAGTATGTGGATTTCCAGAATCAGCAAAAAAATTTCGGACTTAATTTTAAATGACTTATAGTTTATGAGTGATAAGATCTTTAGCCTTTTTTTTTTTTTTTTTAACCAAGCGGTAAGTAAAGTAAGTTTTGGAGATTCCCTTTTAGTTTCCTACACAAACTATACACGCAGTGGACACGCCTTTAGCTACTTAGCTAGCTTTGCAATGGAAGTGGGTGGATCTTGATTTGTACGGTTTCAATTAGGACCGTTGGATTCGAATATCGTGAAGTGGGCCGTTTTACCTTGTGATTTGGTAGGCTTGTTCGTGTTTCGGGCCTGTGATTTAAGAAGAAGGTGATGGAAGGGTGTGATGTCTGCCACGTGGTGGGTGAGGGTTTGGGTGAGTGAATGGAGAAGACGGAGTCATTTTAGAGAGAAGAGTATACACGTGGAAGGTACAGCTGGGTCTTCGTTGGCGCGTAAAAGTGGAGAGCAGAGCCAGTGACTTGGTCTACAACTGTTTCTAGAAGAGAGATCGACTGACGTGTACAGTTTCTGACGAAATTACCCCTGTCCCTTAAAAGCATATCAATTGGCTTTTATTCCTTTTTCTTGTTCTTTGCTTTTTTTTATATATTATTATTATAAAAAAGGATGTTTAAACCCTATCATTAAGAGCAGTTTCATTTTTGTTTAGATAAAAATTGATTTTAAATAGTTTTAAGCGATTACATAAATTTTAGTGAATAGAACCATTCACCTATCATATGGAATGGCAGTGGATTAATAGAAAGAAAGAAAAGGTTCTGGTGGGTAAAAGGTGAATAAAGGAAGATGGTGGAGTTTGGACCGGTCTAGAAATTAATATATATGCAGATGGATGTGAAAGATGATTAAAGGGGGGGGGGGGGAGGAGACTTCGTTGAAAAGAAAGAATAATAATAATATAGTAGAGTAGTGTAGTGTTTGTGGACTGCCTGCATGACAAGGATGATAAAGCAGAGGATAAGATACTATTAAATTAACGCAGGTTTGGGTTCGGGCTCCTCTAGAACGAGAATCCTTTGTTTTGTACTTATATTCAATGTTTCTTGTTTCGTATCTGGTACAAAATGATATCCTGTTGGGAGGCTTTTAATGCCTGCATAACTGTGCTCCATTATTTTAAGCGTAAAATAATGAAAAAGATAAAGATAAAATAGGTTTTTTAAGAGATTTTATGTTAAAAAATTCTGATTTGTTTTGTTTCCTTTTTCTTTCTCTTTTTTGGGTATCTTTATTCAAAGAAATTCGCTTCGTGTGTGTGTATATATATATATATAACAATCAATAGTTATATTCTAATCAGAAACCTAAATAAATCCATGTAAAATGTGAGACGCTATAGATACGCTATTACAATGCCGAGTCACCATGTTAAATACATCAAAGCCTCGATAAGTGTTAAACTAGTCTTCAAGGACGATGGGATGGGGAAGATATTTGGAAATTGGGAAAGGACTGCCTCACTGAGTGGTCCAAAGTTTGTTTGGTCTTTTGCTAAGAAAAGGACCAAAAAACCAAGTTAAAACATGCCAATAATGAAATCCATAATTGAGTGAATAAATTAGCATTTAAATATTGTATTTTCTTGAATATTCTTTATATATTCCCATATTACGCCGCCAGTAAGTGAAAATGTTGAATGCATTTAGCTATTGATTTTTAATTATCCTAAGATCTTTTTATACTTCTCACCTAAAAATGATAATGTTCTTCCTATTATGATGATAAAAAAAAAGATGCTAAAAAACCTAAGAAATATGTATTCAAACAAAAAATCCTTGAATCTTCTCCAACCAACAACTTACAAGATTCATAAGCAAAAGAACATTGTCTTTGTAAAAAAAAAAAAAAAGAAAGTACAAATGAAGGGAGAGTAGAGAGGGGGAAATTTAGAGAAAAAAGTGTGACTGTTGCCAGGGACGAATCCGGAGTTGTAATTTAGAAAGGGCCAGAATGTATACTTTTTATTCCATTGCGGATTTTTTGTAAGACTATCCTATAAATTTTAAAAGTTCAAGGGGGATTTTGGAGCATTAAAAAAATTTGGGGGGGGGGGGTGAGGGGAGGGCAACCTCGGACACGCCCTTGAGTCGCCTTGATTGTTGCAATGGTCATGACAGTCTTTACGACGCTCCGTGTTTTCAATCTTTTATTCTGTTTTATTTTTATCTTTTGATAATTATTTCTAAAATTAGCTATTCTCTTTCGATAATTTCTCAAATTTTATTCTTTACTATTACGATAAATTTTTTTCTCGATAAAAATTAACTTGAAAGGACCATGATCCTTAGTATTGTTTAAATCTTTCTCAATATTTATAAATACGTATGCTGTTGTGTTTTAAATAAGTTCAAACTTTATTTGCATTTCAAATTTTTTAATCTGGGATCACATGTTTTGTTGTGCTTTGTTTTATCAAAGTAATTACAAGGGACGGTTCCTATACTTTTTTCATAATACATGTTAGTCTGGCTAAAAATTAAAGGAAAAGATATACAGATCAGTGAGTAGTTATTTTGATCATATTAATTATTGTTGTTTTGAAAATGTAATAGGATTCAAGAAGAGAAAAAATAAATAAAGTTTCGAAGCAAGGGGAGGATTTGTAGAAAATAGAATGAGACATTCTTCTATTTGTGACGAAGAACCTATATTTAAAAAAAAAAATTATGAATGATAATTTGCCTCGTCTCGATTTTCCTTAGACAACTCGGGGATTCCTATGTTGATCGGAGAACGAAGCGGAGTGGGGCGCCCCTTGAGTAAGGACGAGGATGAAAATAGTATTTGTTTGTCATGTCCCGTTTGTCCTTAAATTTTTTCATTAAAATTATAATTATATCCTATATAAAATCTGTCATTAATGACTTTCGAGGTTTATTTTTTATATAAACTTTCATTTTTTTACTATAGTTTGAAATTTGATAGTAGAATAGAATAAGACGAGACGGAAAAAAAAAAATTGTTGCCTCATTTGCCCTTTCAATGCCCTGTAGGGATCCCTGTCTTTATTTGAGGTGGGGATGGTATGAAAAATTTTGTCATATTCAGGACATGAGGTGGGGATAGAGCAAAGTTTTTAAGGAGCAGGGCGGGTGGGGATCACCATCCCCTTCCCACCCCATTGCCATTCTTACCTGTAGTCTGAATGTCCAAAAATTCCCACATTATTGTTTAAATTATTTTTACCATTTTTTTACATTGACTTGAATTTAAAATAAAATGTTACTTTGTGGTCCTAATATATGTAGTATGTGTAAGTTTAGCTTTATTTGTGAATTAATATCCTCACTCATTTTTATATAAGCTAAATTTTTAATTTGTCTCTAAATCCGAAAAGACATTCAATTTATCTTTATCATTTGAGCTGGTTTTTAATTTATATTTTTGATCAAAATTTCTAATTAATTCATAAAAAATAATTTTTATATTAATAGATATAGATCATTTGTATAAAAAAATAAAGATATTTTTATCAAATCATATATCATGTGTAAATTATAACTTAATTTGAGAAAAATATTTAACTAAAAGAATAGATTAAAAATCAGCTCAATTAACAAAAAAAAAAGGTTGAAAGTGTTTTTAGATTTAGAAACATATTTAAAATTTAATTTATTATATAAACATGGTAAAGACATTAACCTTTTATTTCTTTTATTTCCTACGTGCCCTTTTTTTTCAGTCCCAAAGCAATTTTTTTTTCGTTCTTTGTATTTCAAATAATCAACGATCAATGAAATTTATCTTCCAACTCTCAAATCTCACGAAACGAAACAAAAAATTCTTCGAGAAACGATATTTATTTTGTTTTCTAACGAGCTTGAAGCGTTCAATTGTCTCTAGCAAGCTCTTTAAAAAAAATTGTCGTGAGAAAGATGTTTTAACGTTCACATTAATAATTTGGATCCAAAACAAAAAAGATTATACATTAATACAGAATTTATAATTCAAAGAACTCTCAAAACAAAAGTGCCAAGCCGGTAGCGCATGTAGTGCCAATTAACGTCTTGATCTTTGCTTAAACAAACATAAATGAAGATAATGCAGCCTTTAATTATCACAAAAGAGACCACACAATGATACAAGCATGCTTAAATTATATATAGCTAGAGAATCTCTCTTTGCTTGACAACAAAACCACCTCTCCTCACGTGTGAAGTGCTGCTTTCTACAGGCATTGCCTTGATGAACATGAAACATGACTAGCTAGCATAGGAATTTGATTTTCTAAGACAGAGAGCAAGTTAATGAGACAGAACATATAGAATCTTATTGTTATTTTGTTTCTCAATTCTTTTTTATTTTTCTACCAATTATTCCTAACCAATTAATTTTAGAGTTGCTTTGCTAACTCAATCGGTGGAATTTAAATTGAAAAGTCCACCAATTATACAGCAACAAAGGAAAAAATTTCTTAATCGTGAGATCATGGATCTGTGTTTTAGAATAAAAAATAATAATTTAATTAATTTATGTTCTTAATCGCTTTGTTCTCATGGATTGTTATTAATTATTTTAGTAGGTGAAGTGTTATTTCTAACAGGGTTCTGAATACATCTTTGACCATACAACTTTTTCTTAATTATGACCCACGGATCCGCACAGACAGGTTCCAAATTATCCAAATATTTATTCATCACGGTAACTGTAATAGTATTGTTTTAACCGCAGCTGATAAATGATTGGATGTGTCGATGGACCCACCTATCTCGGATTGTGCAAATAGTTTTTTTTTTTTTTTTTGCCATTTTCGGGGTTTATCCTATAATTATGATTGAGATCCCCTTACGTGTTTTTTAAACATGATGTGTCATTTTCTTTTAATCTAAGTCTTTTGCAATAAATAAATGGTCAAGAATTTAGTAAGCAATATTTACTTAATTATACACCAAAGTTAAAGTTTCAAAATTAACATTTTTTATTTCATCTACTTTTTTAAAAACGTTTTTGGATAGAAAATCTAGAAGTTAATACAAAACATAAAAAAAAAAACCTTAACCTCATCTCATTTGAGCGTGTTTAAGATTCTCCAAAAATAAAATTGAATGTTGTCATTGTATAGAAAGTGTCTATAAAATTTATATTTACAGTTTTCGTTGAAATTTTAATTAGCTAGAAAAAATTCATTTTTCTTTTAACAAGACAAAAATTTTGTGAACATAACATAAAAGCCTATACAATCGCCGAGACAAATTATGTTGAAAGAATCTTAGCAATAAAGATATTGTTATCGTTTTTATTTTTATTTTTATTTTTTTCATAGTTTTGTATGTTTGATTACTTAAACCATCATTTGAAGGAAATTTCCCATGCATTGGTAGTCATGATTTTTTTTTAAAAAAAATTATTTAGATAAATGGAAAAATTCTCAGAGAAACTCAATAAAACTCAATAATAATAGAATACTCTAAAAAATCATCTAAAAAAATTATAGTATTTAATAGTAATAAAGCAACCAATTTTACGTTGAGAATCAGAATCTTATAATTCTCTTAAAGATGAGAGTATCCAAATATAGTGTCAATCACATGCCCTATGCCTACATCATAGAGTACTGCCACTCTCATGACTCATCTTCTAACAATTTTAGGGGGTTTTTCTTTTTTCTTTACACTCTTAAACAATTTTTGGTAACACCGATCGGACGGACCATTAGAGAGAGAATTTTTTTTTAAAAAAAAAGCACGTGGCTTTTGTTCTCCAAGAAATCCAGCTTGCTCTAAGAAATTTTCTTGCCCCCACTTTCTTGTCTCAACTTCCAAGAACTTCACACATGAAAAATTTCAAAGTGCATAAGATAAAGACGAAAGAAAATTACATACATAAAAAACAAATACAATTGTGTGCTGCCACAAATAGACTATCAGCATCACCGCACGAAGAATTTCACATAACATTAATGGGGACCGGTAGTCCGGCGACTCCTCAAGCTCTGACCCCATTATATTTTATTGCTGGGGCTCTCAAGTTGCGGTCCTTAGAATATAATGGCCCACACATGTCTGATGTGTATGAATACTGTGGATGACATAGTGAAATGTACAGATTTGGCTTTTTCTGCACGTCTCTTGATAAATTATCCAACAAGATTAGAGACATGTACTTAACCTAAGAAGCAGGGACAAGAATTCAATCACTGATAATTCTATTTGTTATATTGCAAATTGCTGATATCAATTTCTTACAGCACGTGTTGATAATAGGAGAAAGTGTTGCCTCGGTTTGCGTTGTTTTCTTGATTCTTGGTCAATGATCACAACATGGGGGACTTGAGAGCCCCAAATTCACCTCCAATCAAATGCTAGGATTATTTTCATTCGGTTATTGAAAGCTTAAACTCGCTCATTGACGAGAGTTTAGCAAATAAGAGGTGGGTTATTAAATATCCCAACACATGTTGTTCATTTAGACGTCCTATCCATAAATCGGAAGGTCGGTAACGTCTAGAAATAAAATAAGAGGTGAAAATAAGAGATGGGCTATTAATTATTGAAGAAAGATAGAACCTTTCATAGCAGTTGGTGAGCTGTTGATTGAATATTTGAACGGACGATCTCGAGCAATGGGACCCTATTTTATGGTCTTCCTAACACGACCGTCCAAAACCTCCCACTGACAAGCCCCCAACAGGACAGCGGTCTAGATCCATCGGTTCTTGCTTAGGTATATTGACCTTGACCTTTGAAAAATTCATCAGATTGTAGCGCTCGAACAGATTAAAGAGGTCCACAATGCCTTAGCCAGAAGTCTCTATCTAACTCTGCCATGTCAATTGCTTCAAACCCAGAAACGTTCAATGTCACAGATTGTTCCATATTTTTTTGATAAAATGTTTTAGATTGTTGCATTGACAAGAAAACAGAAGAAACGATAATCTTAGAATTCAAATACAAAATAAGTACAATATTTATTAATGGATTGCTATATTGACAAGAAAACACGTGACAGTGAAGATAATAACTTGCAGCCACCGTTCCAACTCCCTCTCATTGATTTGGCTTTTACGTTCTTTTCGTTTGTTTCGAAACAAAGGAAGGATAAAGAAAAGCTCAAGTAAATAACCCTAAGATGCAATACAATTATTAGGAGAGATGGAGAGGTTATGTGAAAGACAAGAAACCCATAAATTTCTAACGGTGGCAGTAAGTTTCAGCCAATTCGACAGGGATAGACTGACACATCAAAGAAAGATAAGAACATCAAAATAGCATCCTACCTATGATCATAGTGGCTTAAAAGTCGTACCAATTCGCTTATCAAAAAACAAGATGCATCAATTCATGGCTCACCTCGCTTTTGCAGCCGCCGTGAAGTTGCAGCAAATGCATGACCCAAGAGCAAAACCGTAAAGCTTATTTTACCCAAAAAAAAAAAAAACACAAAAAAAATTATAAATTTTATAATTTTTAATTATATTAACATGTTATTTTCATATAGAGCAGAAAAAATATAAACTAAATTTCTAATAATCTTATCAGCACACATAATTTTTTTAACTTAAATTCTATTTTAAAATGATGTGATTTATGAAATAAGATGATAATATGACATAAATATCACATAAGATTACATATCAACCAAACAGACCCTAACCAACATCCCAAGCCCTTTAAACCTTTAACCCACGACTCACGTAGTACGAGACTAGGACCCCGTGATGTCCTTCACTTTTCGGCCAAATAAAGGCTGAAACCACCACATAATCGTTTTCCATACCTCCATCAACCTTCCGCGACTAGTTAGAATGCAGTGAAAGGCCAAAGTAAGCAAAAAAAAAAAAAAAAAAATGAAAACCCAATAGCATACCCATTTGATTTTGTGATTTTTCGACCAAAGCAAAGCTTGAATGGGTAGAATAAGTACTTTTTGAGTCGGTAAAAACCTCGAGAGCCATTAAATCCAACCAAAATTGATAAAAAAACGAAAGAAGAGAACGAAATGATTAACGCTAATCATTTTCCTCTTCCTGCCATTTTGCGACAACGATATATTTTTCTATCAAGGTTTCGACCTTTGATTTGGCCAACAAAAAAAATAACCGATTCAAAAAAAAGACTTGCTATCGAATTTGGCGAGTTTGACAGTTCGACTAGTTTGAAATGTGTCAGGATATGTTTGGCTAGCGTGAAATACTACAGTGTATTTATGTAATGCTATCATCCTATCTCTCACTTCATGTCAGTTGAAATCAAAATTTAAGCTGAAAAAATTAAAAACTTAGTTCATTTTTTTTTATCCAATATTAAAAAAAAACATACTAATATAATTAAAAAATATCAAAAAAACATTCTTATATAATTAAAAAAATATAAAATTCATGAGTTTTTTATACAATAAGTCAAACATATAATAGGAGTTACATAAGTTACACGTGACATTTTATGCATTAGTTCCTCAGTCCCAACTTGGAAGGTCAAACCTAAAACCGAGGTGGATGCCGTATTCAAGAAATCAGATGTGAGAATTGACTATATATTTTAACTTCTTGAAGAAGTTAATTGGTAGCTTGACTGGAGTATCAATGGCTGCTTGAAATAACTGCTCACGGAACTGGTAAGAAAAACCTGATGCCCAAGCAGCAGCATTCAATCGGTAAGATGAGAACACATCTGAACAACCTCTAAGGATATCCATTCTCAAGGATCTATCCCCATGTTTATTTCACTCTAGTTTTCAAGATCTGTTAAAATGTTTATTTCACTCTCTTTAGCTCCAACATCAGCCAAGAAGATGCTACCAGAATCACACCAACCTCCCATTACATCCCTGTTGGAGCACTGCAGCAAAATTGACAATTAAAAGTGTGAGATGGCTCGCTCATCCTACATTAAATCAGCATCAATCTGGTGTTGTATTAACTAACTAGAAAGGCACCTTAATTCAATGCAAGCCCAGCTCACAACAAGAGAACTATAATTACGTGGCCCAGGCAGAAGATTATACAGTTTATGAATTCTATATAAATTATCATACAGCTACCAATTTAATAGCATTAGAAGTGCTTGGCCTAAGCTTTCCTCACATTTAGACCCTGTGTTCTTCGAATTTTTTTAATTGAGACTCTACTCTTTTGTAGCTTTATTGAGACTTTTTATTTTTCGAGATTTCTCATTTCAGACTTTCTGTTATAATGTAACAAATCAGTTATCAATACATGACATTGTAAACCTCAAAAAATAGAGGTTGGATGGCTGATTGGTGACATTATAATGGAGGATTTGAAGCAAAAAAAATCTCAAAGGGTAGAGGGCTTCAATAAAGAAAATATAATAAAAAATTGAGCGTCTCAATCAAAAATATTTGAAGAGTACATTGGACTAATCCAGATATTTCTTTTCGTACAGTGCTTTGATAGAACTACAAATGGGCTATGAGTTTTTGTTACAAGTTAATGAGTTATAGCAATCCCATTTCCTTCCCAGCCTTCATCTAAATTTGCCTGGTCCATTTCATGTGTTATAAATGAAATTCTAAAATTTGATATTGTTGTTTGAGACTTTTAGCTGGATAAACGATGGTATATTGTTTTTCACTCAAACCAATTGATTCCAGCTTCAACAGAGAAAACAAGAACACCCAAGTTTGAACCAAATTAATCCAAACTGAATTGTAACCATAGGCACACAATTTTTGGACATGCAAGTGAGTAGTGCATGAGTGAGCGCACAATGAAACCATGCACAATCATGAAAAAATAGAAGAACAAAATACCTTGCTGAACCCAAGCCAGTTTGAATCTCCTCTAAATGAAAAGACCTTATTGCATTCTTTCCACTGCCCACAAAGGACCTGCAGACATGTTAATCATCACATGGGATTAGAAGGCATGAGAAAGAGATTCTTACAAGGGAAAACAATTTAGCAAGACGCTCCAATTTCATGCAGAATCTAGAGCACCACAGAAACTACAAAACTCTAGCCCATCCCACGAACAGATGAAACACTACTTCAGTCAACATTTTAAAGGTATCCTTGATGCCTAGAAAACTGGCACCAAATCCCACGCAAAATTATACCTGTGTCCGCACCAAACCCTTTATGTGGGCATTTGGCAGCCACATGGATCCAGTCTCATTTTTTGGATCTATACTTCAAAGCTTCCTATCTACCATTTTCTATACTTGTAAGGTTTCTGATACAGCAGTTAAAGTTCTCTACTTAAAGAAGTTTATTTCATAAGCAAGGAAAATCAAACATTTACCATTTCAGATGCTAGCAATTTACAGATGAACATACAAGGCTTAATCTAGAAGATATTCAGAGAGCATGGAGAACTTTGGTGTTTTCAGCATTGCAACTTGCTTCGTTTTTCTGTGTTCAAGAGAATTTCCCATCCTCTTTGTACATTTTCTCCTTATTCTAACACAATTTCTTCTCTATGGACAAAAAAGACCATAAATTTGGCAGTTTATAAGTACCTTTCTTAACAAAGCAAAAGCAACCTCAGTTTCAGTTCTATATCTTGTCTTCTTTACAAAGGAAGTGGAAATGCCCCCAATGGAATAAGTGTGGGGGTGACCAAAAGACAAAAGTGTAACTAGAACTTTGTAAAGGCAACTGAAATGGAAACTTGATATACGACTAGTAAATCTGGAACTAATAATGCTAAGCAAGAAAAGCAGTAAAACATAAGGAGATCTGCTGTAGCTTCAAAAGCAATCACCTCATAATCCACCCCTTGGACATAGATGTAATCAGGGTCAAGCGATGAGAATGCTAGTCCGGTTATCTGCAGTTGTAGCAAAAGCAAAATAATTTAAGATGCAGCATTAAAACCCAGAAGACATGTAACTTCAGCATAAAAATTGTAAATGTTAGCATACGCATCCAGAAATCCAGCTCTTAGTCTTGAAAGCCATTACATTTCTTGTGTTCAAGAACTGGCAACTCATTTGAGGATTTTACTTTTTGCTTCTTCGTTTTCCCCCTCTATTTCATATTTTGTCTAATCTCCAGTGAAACAATCAAACCATGAACATATAATTTTTTATAAAGATACTAAATATGCAAAAATTAATAAACAAATGCTATAACATCAATTTTATTTTTCTATCCATCACTAATATAATAACTAAAACTAAACTTGGATGTCAAAACATGCAGAAGAGCCTGAAAAGACAAAAGAACTTGAAGGGAGAAATTGATCAAACAAAAACAGACCTCGTATTTTGAGCAATGCACCCATCTGGAAATTGGGGCCCATCTACATTCAAGATGTAAACATTAATTAGGTCTCATTCTATTGATAGAGAAGCGTAGTTATCCCTCCATTGTTTTTTTATTCATTTTGAATACAACCAAACATTCAAAGGACGGGATAAATAATATGCTAATTTAGAAGAATAAATATGCAATCATTGATACTCAATTCATCATCTACCTAAATCATCACCATCACAAGTCACAAAAGAGACCTTGCTCATTAGGAAACAAAAATCCCAAGCCATTTTTATAAAATCTATATTCTCATACATTGTTCCCAACAATCCAACTGTAACAACCAACCTGCGAGGATCATATATGGTCACAGTACGATCAGCCCCACCCACTGCAACATGACCAGTTGAGGAACTGCATACAGCATAGAAAATATCACCTACAGAACCACAAATTCGTTGTAGACAACCACCATTTTCTTTCATTCTCAAGTCCCATAGGGTCAGCTGCGGTAATTCCAAGAGATGAAGCAAAGCAGCACGGCATGTAAACAAACAGGGAAAAGGGAAACTATAAAACACACTACAGTACCTGGCAGCCCTCAGCAACAGCTAATATAGAATTTTCACTCCCATGGCCCAAATTCTCCAAAAAGTTCAATGACGATGGGTACCAGAGTCTGCAACATAGCCCAATCCGTGATATAAAAGCATTAAGGATACTCCAACATTCAGGAAAAAGAAGTTTCTTGAAGTAGAAAAAAAAATTCAGGTATTCTAAGGGACTGAAATTTTAAAGGGTGAGATGTTCTTTGCTGGGCATTGTATTTTAGATTGAAGGTTTTTCCTTCGTCTGATCAACAAATCACTAGATATTTTGGTGCTTCTAACTTCTAAGAGAAAACAAGTTCCTTAACTATCAAATGAACTCCAGCTAACACAGTCTCTGTCATTCCTAAATCAAAGATACCATCACCCTCTTCTTTAAACTATGAAAATTACAAATCCATTTTTTTCTAACCATATATTTAACACAGTCCGCATATCTTACCTTGCAAAATAACCGAAACACAGTTTTACTAGCCGAAACAATACTTACGTACGTAAAGTGCGCACATGGATATCTTGGTCATAAACATCAATGCTTTTGCAAAAGCTACGCGCTACGGCTGCCTGGAACCAGAGATGAAGAAGGAACAAAAAGTTCAGACAGAGAATAAAGACTATCATTCATGTTTAAAGGAGCTGAAAGTAAAGAAAGCAACAGGGATAAAGCAGACATGTCATCTAGTAAAATTTGCTACTAATGATGTTCAGAAACAATGCTGTTGCTTTGCAGTTATTACTTAATAGTACATTGCAAATAACAAGGTCACTAAAGAACTTCCAGTCAAGCTCTCACACCAACTGTAGTTTTGTCTAAAATTCCAAGTTGCTAATTCCACTGAACAAAAACCATAATATCTTAAGTGCAAACAAAAGATACCCATATTACACAATTACAATTGTGCAGCATCATGTTCTGAAAGTTTGTTTTTAATGCTATATTCTGCAATAAAAAGAGATATAATGATAAGTAAGACATACACTGCTGTACAAGATTTTGTACCAGACACTCAATCCTTATCTGGAGAAGTGTTGCTACCAGAAAAGATAAAAAATCTTAGGGACCTTTTTTTCATAATTACTACGAGAAAAATTTTAGTGACCACCCTCCAAAATCATAAATTTGTTGCTGGGCCAAAAGCATAAGTTTGTTGAGTTTTGAAATGGGAATTCAACTTGGTTTGATAATTTCACTATCAAGACTGGATATGTCATCTACTTGAGTGTTGAGAAAACGCAGTACTTAATAATCTATACAATTGGCCATTGCTGAGATGGTTTCAATCGCTTGCTGACTCGATAGATATTGAAATGATATCTACTGTGGCCAGAATATATATCAACAAGTTCAATATTAGTGCAATAAATAAAGTAGTCACCATGGACCATTGACTTGGACTGAAGCAAAGGCCAGCCCAACTGCCTTCTCCAACACCAGAATCTCGAGGTAATACTGAATAAGTTAGCCGATCAATATCTGAAAATAACAGAAATACACTTTGATAAGGCACTTCTACTGCCCAAAATCAGTAGCAGAGATAAAACAGTAACCAACAGTGCCTTAATCATAAGAAAGCTACAATAAAGAGAGCTGTACCTTTACCACTAATATCTAGTTTGGAAACAATAAGGTGTCCATAAGAATCCACACTTCCCAACACCAAGTAACCAGGGCCTGCAAACAATTTAAATACCCGTCAACTCTATCAATGGGTAACTATCCAAAGGTATGGACTGTAAGCCATCTGTCAATGTCAATGCAAAGTCACTTACTTTCAGTTTCAGAAAGCACTATACTCTGAATTTCCGACCGATGAGGGCAGCGATTAACTAATGAAGAGTCAATGACCTTCAGAAAGTCAGATGATGAACAATTAAATTGATGCATCGCCAGTGAAACAATACAATGAACTAAGCTGATAAGCAAAATTGAGTCTTGCTTCTGAAAATTTGCAACAGCCACATACTCAGAATGTAATTAATACCTGTGTTTGTACAGGAATGAGGAGGCTTTCTTTCCCTTCGCTGACAGAAGAATCGTCCATAGGAACCTATCAAAAAGATGGGACAGTGAACTGAGCAAAAGCCAACTTCTTAATTTTCTTTAACAGATCTAAAATCAGCATCCAAAATAAACACCAATGACATGGATGATGGGACCTTGCTAGTTTGAGTACTCGCTCATCCTAGGTCATTGCTGTAATGGTCTCATCAAAATCCCACATCATATAAAAAAGGGCCTTTTCCAACAGATTTTAAGCTCTATACTTGTTTTGGAAGCTCCTTTTCCCTTCGTTTCACAATTTGGCTCTTTTTCCCGCTTTTCAAAAATTGATTCTTTTCAGGACACGTATCGAACTTTCGTAACAGCAAATTCACACAAGTGCTCCCAATTTTCCTTTTTAAAGAAAGAACCTGTTCTAAAATGCGAATGCAAACAAACCTAGACAAAGGCACTGTTTGAATTGCCCTTATCAAATTCCACATAAGTTCACCACTCTTGTGCGTTTCAAAAACCACCTCGCTCGTAGCATAACAAAGACACTGTTTCAATCCTTGGAGTATTCAAAGAACAAGAGTTTGAAAGAAATCATTTACAAGCCACAAAACACTCACTCCCCTAATTGGTAATTCCTAAACCAAATAGTATTCTAACGAAGAAGAAGAAGAAAATAAAGAAGTGGTTCCAATTAAATTCAATAAATATTAAACAACAAAATTATTAAAGAAATATCAAGGCATCCGAGTAAAAGCAAGTTGCTAAGTATCTTTACCTGGAGTTTATAGACTTGACAGCCAGACGCAATGTAGACCAAACAAGAGGAGCCATCCTCATTAACCTGAACATCCGACCAAAAAATAAGGACAGACTCATTTAAGAGTATTACATTACATAGCAAATAAAATAAATATGAAGAATTGAAAAGAAGATAAAAGAATATATACATGGAGAGCAAGGCGAGTGGACTGGAAGTTTCCAGGTGAAGGATCCTCGATAAGAGCAGAAGGCACAACTGCCTTTCTCAGACTCCTAGCCTCCAACACCATTCTACTTCTTTAGCGCCTCGCCGCCGGCAAGCAAGTGTCTGGTTTCGTTATTTTTGAACAAGACGCCACGCTTGGCCGTGAGAGCGTGCCAAGGGTTCTTATTTGCCTATATCGAAGTTCCAACTTCAAGCTCTTAAACCCAACAGCACCTTCAACGTCATAGGAAAGGAAAGTGCCTGCAGAGAGCTTAGCAAGCCCGATGAGTAGTACAAAATAAAGGGTTTTAGGCACTTCTTTTTGGGCCGGACCTTTTTCTTTTCGTTTCGTTTTTTGTGTCAGATAAATTGTATTTTAGCCTCTATAGATTTAACAATATTTCATTATGGTTTCTGTAGTTTAAAAATTTCCAATTAGCTCTGTTCTTTAAATCTACCCGTTTGTCGCGACTATCTTTTTTACTCTTTTTTCTCCCCCTGCTCATTCATAATTTTCGTTTTCCTTTCAATTCCATTTCAAGCTTACGTTCTACTATTGTATTTACATTACATTAAAAACAGTTTGAATCCAGGAAAGTGTGAGGAGATTAAGAGATGGGACATGCATGGTTACTAGTTGCAAAGTCCAAGATCTTGTCGTTTGGTTTGTATCAACATTGCTTGATCTCTACCTAATAATTTGAGAGTTTTATAGCTAATGTCAAAATTGCCATGATCAAATCCTTAAGCATATAAGTTCCAAAGCTCTTGACATGAGTATACGGTAGAAATAAATCTTGAACTTTTTGAAGAAGTTTGGTTTAATCAGTGCTTTAATTAATGTGAAGAGCTGTGACATTAAAATGCGAAAGATCATCAACTTGGCATCGTATGAACGGTTGCATTTGACTGTCACTGATACAATTAATATATGGTTCTTAATTATCAGCTACATATGCATGCTTCTGATCACCCAAATTTTTGTTCATGTATATAATATGTTACAGATGGATGAAAAAAGAGAGAAGAAAGCCCAGGCTGTCAGTACTTTTCAATGCTAAAATGTTTTGATAATCGGAACTTGAAAGAAAAATGCTCCAATCGTAGTCCACAGTGCTGCCTCTGGTGCTATTTTATAAAAAGTGGCATTAGTGACCACTATGCAAGTCCAATTGCAAAGGAACTCAGGAAGAAAAGGAGAACGGTGACAAAAGATGTTAATGATTAGGTAATGATGTATCTTATTAGGATCCATTCCAGCTTCAGACAAAATGGTAAGAGCAGAGACTCCTTCGGAAAAAAAATCCAAGGAAATTATTTCAATAAGAAGACAATAATTAGCAGTCTCTAGGTCAATGTTCTTATGAGAATTTTCTAAGGTAGGGTGTCATATATTATTATAATAGGGCAAAATTCTCAAGATGATAAAAAAAAAAAAAAAAACAAAATTAACAACTTGTAGTTCCAACAAAAGAAAAAGAAAAAAGTTACAATTTGATACTGATGGAGGTAAGACACGTCAAAAACCATGAACTAAAAAGCTGCTGATCAGAGGAAATATATTGCAGCGTGAAGAAGTGGACTACCTAGTGGTGAAATACAATTCTCAACAATTAAAAAGATTCCATTACGCCCTTTTCCCTCTGTCCTATATATGCTGAGTATGCTCGCGATATGATATATAAAATCAACAGCATGCGTGGCATGGGCCTGCATATATTATGTGTAATTCATTTTATTCTCAGAAAGTAAGAGAGAGAGGGAGAGAGAGAGAGAGATCCTTCAGTTCAGATCGATCCTTATCCCTAGATACTTATCTGATGTCTGAGTCTGACCCATTAATGGTTACGGGTGGCCTAAGCCTAGGTCATCGTCTATGGAACCGCAAGCAGAGTTTGATCAGTATATATATGCCTCCTTAATTAACACCTTCCAATTATAAGTACTGCTGAAGTGCAGCTAATTCTTGGCAGTACCTTAGTTTAAATATGATGGAAAAGTAGTGCTCACTTCTCAGAATCTGTCATCAGTTGAATTCTTGAGCCCCGTGGCTCCTTAATCGTCTGCCTTTCTGGTTGAGCCTGGCCTGAATTTGTTTTGCATGGTTGGCTGGCCGGCTTTCGTTTGAACATCAATCAGGTGAGATCTCAAGTGTTTGCATACCTGATGAATCATTGTCTGGTGTGTTCTGCAAGGGGGCTTCCCTTCTTTCTTCTTTCTCGGACACAGGACAGTACTGTGTCTTTTAATTAATTTCTTTTAGACTTTTAGTAGCTGGTTCCTGTACTTGTGGTAGAATTAACGATCGTTTGTGCATTGTAAATGATGAAAGCAAAATCTCCTCAACTCATGTAAGTGTAAAAATTTCTGTCACCTTGTGTTTGACAAACAGAGCTAAAAAAACTATCCTTTTCTTTTGCTAATTTCTTCTTCTTCTTTGTTATTTTTTTTTTTTTATCTATTTGTTAATAAACAGTTAACAGAGATCACGGGTGCTTATCTTGTGGGAATAAAAAATTCATAGAATGAGACGAAATTTATGATTTTTTTTTTCTGAAAAAAAAATTATGATGTTTGAAGAATAGAATTGATTTTTAGAATCTCTTATAACGTCGGATTTGCCCGGAAGTGGCTGGAGGGAAAAGGTTTTGGCCTTTGTGTCGAGGGCTGTGCTGAAATTACCTTAAGAAACGACTAGGTACTATGCACAAATGAAATGGACAAAACAGGCTAGGATCCCTTTCGTTTTCTTTTTTCGCTTTCAATATTCGATAAATTAGAATTTTAATGACAAGGAAATGACCATAACCAAGAGGGAAGCGAACAAGAAAATATTAGATAAATTAGAATTTTAAAGACAGGGAAATGACGATAGCGAAGAGGGAAACGAACAAGAAAGAAAACAATCACTACTACTAGAACAGAACCATTATGTTATGTACACTCTTTTATGATTTCTGTTACTAGGATAATAAGGTTTGAGAAAGCTGTTGATGTAGTGTATAACTTTGTCCTTCTCAAACCATATTATTCTAGTAACAGAAATTATAAAAAAAGTGCATAACTTTGTCCTTCTCTATAAAGATTCTTGTCCTTAAGGATCAAAGCAAAAATTAGGAAATTCAAGTTCCAGTGCCTCCAATTCTCCCTAAGTTGCATCCTCCTCAAGTAATCGAATTAAGCCCACAATCACTGCTCTATTGTTCTTTTTCATGATCTTCCTATCTAGGACAATGATTCTTGATATGTCCCTCCTCGTCAATGGCTGTTAAGGAAGTTGAAACCCAACATTGGTATCAAACTTTCTCTTTAGTAAAGAAACATGAAATACAGGATGGATGAGAGCTCCTTTCGGTAATTCTAACTTGTAGGCTACATTTCTTATCTTTTGCCGAATAGTGTACAGGCTATAGAACCTGGGATTCAACTTAAAATTCTTACGAAGTGCCACACTAGGTTGCCTGTATGGTTGAAGCTTCAAGGATACCATATCCCCTACTACAAACTCTCTTTTCGTTATGTATTTATCAGCAAATTTTTTCATTCGCTGCTGAACTCTAACAGTGTTTTAATAAACAAATCCATGCCCCTTCTCTCTCAAAGTAACTCAATAACCTCAACAGATGATGAGTCTTGAAGAATAATTTCCTTAGCATTATACCACCAAGGCTTAGAAAGGAGTCATTTGAATGGCGAAGTGGTAGCTATTATTATAACACACCACTGAGCCAAATTTAGCCATTGGAATCATTTCTTTTGATAATCCATGCACATAAACCTCAAATAAGTCTCCAAGCATTGATTTAATATCTTCGTTTGATCATCTGTTTGAGGATGATATGCAGAACTCACTAACAATTTAATGCCTAAGGATTTAAACAACTCCTTACGGAATAAAGTTGTAAATATTCTATTTCTATTAGTGAGGATAGTTATAGGCAAGTCGTGTAACTTGTAAATGTGCTTCAAGAACCTCTTAGCCATATGCTTAACTAAAAAAAGATGAGTTAACTCTAAGAAATGACCATACTTGGTAAATCTGTCCACAATCACTAAGATCGTGTCTTTCCTTTTCGATTTTGGAAGCTTTTCTATAAAGTTCATGGAGATGTCTTTCCAATCCCTATCCGGTATAGGTAAAGGTTGCAATAAGCCTAGATAAGCCACCTTCTTTGACTTAGCCCTCATACAAACCTCTTATTCTTCCTCATAGTCCTTCACCATTTGCTTCATAGATGGCTAATAGGACACACTTTTTAGCCTTCTATAAGAGTTTTGCACACCTATATGTCCTTCAACAACTAAGTTATAGGCGGTTTCTATGAATTTCTTCCTCGAGTCTTGATCTTGTCTAATGAATAGCCTAGTATTGTACCTTAATAAAAACTCCGGCATCAATAGACTTGGCAACAATAATCTCTTGCTCTTTAGTGTTATTAGTATATGAAGTCATAATATCGGCATACCATGTAGGTACAACAACCGTAATAACTTGAGTCTTGCTTCATTTATTCCAACGAGTAGATCTCTTTGGATTAGATACCCTTCCAGACAACAAATCGATGATTGTATTCTTTTTCCCTCTCTTGTATTGGATATCATACCTTAATCCCAATAATTTGGTAAGCCATGTTCTCTGTATAGACATATTTATTTTTTGTTCTTAGCAAGAATTTAACTTTTAATGTCCATCTTGATGATGAACTTATCGACTTCTAAGTAATGCCTTTATTTGTCAACCACTTATGAGAATAACTAAGTATTCCTTTTCATAGATAGACATCTCAAAGTATTTAGGACATAAGGCCTTGCTAAAGAAAGCCAATGGCCTACCATCTCGAGATAGTATAGCTCTAATTTTAGTGCCACAAACGTTAGTTTCTAAGACAAAAGACTTTAAAAAATTTAGGAGAGCTAAAATAAGAGCCTCATACCGGACCTTTTTCAATAAATCAAAGGTTACTTACCTTGGTCATTTCACTTAAAATTGTTTTTCTTTAGTAACTTAGTCAAAGGCTTGTCGATGAGGTCATGATTCCTAATAAATTTCCTATAATATCCGACCAATCCTAAAAATCCTCTCAA